TTTTTGGTCTAAAATGTATGAAAATGAGCAAAAAAGTACCTAAGATTTGTTATAACTTTCTAGCAATCAAAACCTACTAAAAACGCTACAAAAGGGATACATTATAAACTTTTAACAACATTAGTTTTCCCCCTGCTAACAGTATAGTACCCGATTTCCCATCGCAAAATGCTATTTCTTCGCCGAGTTATTTCTTCTTAAAAATTGCTCGTCAGCAAATAATCAACTATAATAATTTTGCTGTGGTCTCTGTCCGTCTGTCCGTGTGAAGCCGAATTCAACTCGAAGGGGAAAGGTGCTAGAGCTAACAAGGGAACCTCACGCGGACAGGGTGGAATTCCGAAAAACGCTCGCGGCTACCCCTAGGTAATCGACCATTGCGATCAAGATGCGCTTGTCGGATCTTTCTGAATGCACCTGTGGACAGAGATACAGCACTTCCGGAAAATGGTGATTTGCATGCGAAAAATTAGCATCGAGGGATGGTTTATTAGGCTCTCCCATCACTATGGAATCACCAGTTGAGTGGCCGAGTGGCAGGCAACTCGCTTGATAGAATACTGTCGAGGGTACGGATCCGCTCACGATTTTTTATTTTGCTTTTGCTTTTGCTTCGCTCTCTTCGGATTCGGAGAGCGTGTTCAGAAACCCCCAAACTGATAAAAAAATCATGAAAAGTTTCCGTTTAAATTATTAAATTTAACTTTGAAAGATTTGCCATAGTAAAAGGGTTGGGGGAAGGAGGTTGGGGTGATTTGGGACATAGTGAGCCAGGTGGCGCGCGTTTCGGCGAAGGGGGAGGGAAGGCATAGGGGGTAGCATCGGGGTCCAGCCGCTTGCAGCGGCGACTAAGATACGGTTGAGATACCAATAAGATACGTGGATATCCTGTAAAATGAATAAAGGGCAGTGCCAGGTAAGGGAAGAAACGCGAATGAAATCGAATTTGAATCGAATGAGACATGCCAAATGTTCATAATCCTTGAGATAAGTCAACCAGCGAGCTACTTTCCAACCCCAATAGCTTTTCAAAGACGCCCGAACTAGCTTGGTACCATTTTTTTCGACCCAATTGTCGAATTAGTAGACTTTTTCGCACATAAAACGCAATTCTTAAGATCTGCGGATAGCTGTCCGCTCGATAAGCGATACACCATTCAATTTCGACTTTCGCGCGCATATTTCTACGGTAGTTTCAACGGGTTGTCTGGTTATAAGTCTGGCATGCGCAAAAACCTCTTTTGAGTCGACGATTTAACCATGTTGCAACCATTTTCAGTTGTTGCAATGTATTAGAGAAATGATCAGCACCCTAAAATTTGGCTTTTCACGAATTTTCAGATTTTTCTGATGAGTATTTTTCCAGATCGTTTTTCGTGGTAAATTTAATAGCCATTTAAACCCCGAAAATCAACATTTTAAACTTTCAAAACTATGCAGCCCTACCAAGTCGACTACGCGCTTTCAGATGGCGTCAAAAAAAACTGGGTCGAAAGACTGTACCAAGCTAGTATCGGGGTCGTTCGGTTGACTCGGCAACCGCCTTTTAATTCAAAACGAACCGAACAGCTTTCGAATTGCTTTTACAAAGCTAATCACGCCAATACCACATTCCAATATCTTCTTTTAGTGTTCCTCTGCGCCATCTACAACTCTCAATTTCCGGACAGATCCCTCGATCCAGCCACCTACTTGTTAATTTTCGACAAATGATTCCAGACTGAAAATGGGAAATAAATCACTGATAAATATTGTTTTTCTCTAATTACAGGGGGTAACTCAGATTTATTGCAAAAAAGGACACAGAGAAAGACGAGCAAAACAATCAAAACATCAACAACTACAAACTAATCACGAAATATCGATTGGCGGATATTTATTGGAGGAAGGATGTTCTGACGGCTGATCGATAATTGGTGCCCGGAACTCGTTTCACAAATTCTTCCGCTGACACCCACGCGTATTCCGGAAACTGAAAAGGAACCAAGGTTCTTTTGCATTATCAGGGGGGGGGGTTGTACACGGCTAGAAATGCCTGGTAATTCAGTAATAAGTATCCTAATAGTGTTTTTAGTCAGCAAAACTATATTTCAACGCGAAAAACTATCCACAAGCTTTCCAAAAAAAAACATTTTGTTGAGCGAAAAATTGTCAAAAGCCGATTTTTTTTGGTATTTTTCGATCAACATTTGTATAGCTTTAAGCATGGAAATAGTAAAAAATGGTTTCGCAAACCCTTCCGAAATCAAATAGCTATTTGAAAAATTGGATCCATTCAAAAAATCGGATAAAAAGTAGCCCCCCCCCGATAATGCACAAGAACCGAAAAATCTAGAAAGAATAATTGTGGTACCTCTGTTGTATTCAATTTGATAGCCGTCTTTGCCCCCAAAATGGCATTGTAGAAAAAGACTTTGGAGCCGCTTTTCTTCTTTGCATCGGCGATCGGTTTGGGATATCTAAAAAGAATCACTTTTCTATCATTTTGCATCAGGAATAATACCGAAGGGTAAAGACAGATATTGGAGCATTTCCTTGAATAGATACATCACCCATCAACAATTCGCCCACACAACGTTCCGCACTCTGAAAAACAACAACAACAAGTTGATATTACGGTAACAAGTGCTGGATCTTTCGCATTATCGGGGGGGGGGAGCAAATAGTTTGTATTAGACTAGAAATGCCTAATAACGTAACACAACACACTTTTACAATGTTTCTAGCGGAATAAATCAGTATTTCCACCAGAAAAAACTTTGAACAAGTTCAAAAAGTCGAAATTTTGCTCAAAAACCGAGATTTTTGTGTTTTTAATCAAAATTATAAAACTTTTACGTTTAGGGCAAAATTTAGCGCCCCCGATAATGCGAAAGAAGCGAAAAGTGACCTGTCTGAGGGGTTCTCCTTGTCGCGTGGATATTTCTGGGAATTGCCATGGACTCTGATATCCATCTTCTCTTCCATATCGCTGTTTCACGACGAGTACCAATTCCTTGTCGGCCAATCTCTTTTCATTCTTCTCATCAACGTCACCCTCAATCTTCTCAGCATCGTCGAATTTGTATCTACAAAAAGAAAAGGTTTCTTTGGCATTATCGGGGGGGGATACATTTTTTTTCTCAGGACCCATTTTCTCTAATAAAGATAGAGTGTTTTCAGACTCTTTTTTTCGCTATGCCTAAACCTAAAAATTTCAAATTTTCATCGAAAAACGAAGAATATTGATTTTCCGACCAAAAAACGTCAAATTTCCAGTTTTCCAGATAGATTCGGTCTTAGATAGTTTCTCTCGATGAAATCTGTTTATATTTTACTAGAAACGCTAATAAAATACTTCTTGTAAAGTTACCAGGCGTTTCTAGGCTAGACGAAAATGTACACGTTTCTTTTTAGCGAAAAGGCTGGCATTTCGGCGGATTTTCTGGCGAAAAAACCACGGTTTCGGAATTCTTGCGCCTATTCCGACGGCATCATCATTTTTTTGCTTTAGAAGTCTGGAGAAGTGTCCAATTTTTGTGATTTTAATATCAATAGAAAGGAGGGATCTGCCTCGCCTCGTCGAGAGCTGTCGATTGATAGAAAAATCTTCAAAATTGGCCATTTCTCTGATCCACGGATGTTTTTTGAAAGAAATGCAACCTTTTAGCGAGTTGAGTGGCTTTATTTTGCCATTCTTGTTCGCGCATTTGATTGGTGACTTCCAATTCTCCCTCCAATTCCGACAGATCACGACCGGCCGCTTCGAGTTTGGCCTTTCTCTCCAGTAATCTGCAAAGAAAAGACCAAGTTTAAATTGACCTGAAAAAGAGGGGCTTACATCTGATCCTTTTTCGATTTGATCTCATAGTCGTTGAGCAGTGAATTCTCCTTCTCGATCTGCGACTGCACGGCTGCGTATCTATAATTCAATAAGAGCAGAAAACAAGAAAAAGAAACCTTTTCTCGATGGCCGTCATTTGAGGGGCAACGATTGGCGGGCGATGGATGATCACTGACGCCATGATGTCCCATGAAGAACGGGCGACGTGCGTGAAACGCATCTTTTTACCCCTGAAAAGAAGTCATTACGGAAATCACGGAAATAAAAGATATCGGAAACGAGAGAAAACACAGAGAGGTGGAGAGAGATAGAAATATTGAAAAAAGACCGATTATACACGAAATTTGCTTTTAAAACTTTCTGCAAGCGTTAACGGTTCAAAAAAGCGTTTTAACCGGGAAAAGCGCAGGTTCTGTTGCTAGTTGAGTACGCGGGGGCCCGTTTCGGTTCCTGGCGATTGGCTGTGCGATGAATGCTGAGAGAGCACATCACACTTACAACCCAACATACACACACGCCCCTGCCCGCTCAGCTGTAACTCCTTGCCTCGAAAACGCCACTTTTTATCACTTTCTAAAATTGATATCTTACTGAACAGTCACCGAATTGGAACGCTTTACGATTAGCCCCTTTTTCAAAAAGAATCGAGGGATTTGAGCGGAAATTTGGTGAAAAACGCTGCGAGCAAAACAATAATCTCGTGGAGCGCGGTTTTGAAACCTAGTAAAACGCTCAAATTGGTGTCGCAGCTTCAAAAGAAGCGCCCGACGATCAATAGGAAACTGTTCTCATCAACGCGCCGCCTAAATTAGCCTTAAAATGAGGATAAAAATCGCTTGGCGGGGCGATGCTCGTGGTGGCGCCGTTTTGAAACCTAGAAAAGCTAAAAATGCACACAGATTCTTGTAAAAATCACAAAATCGGTGGCTAACCATAAAAAGGGCGTAGATTCACATCTAAATAAACCTTTTTCATCACGCTCTAACCAACCGTTTAGCCCCCAAGAGGCGCCGTTTTGAGACCTAACAACCACGAAAAAACCTTCGAATTCTTGAAAAAAACCACATAATAGGTGGCTGATCTTAAAAAGGATGCAGATTCGCATGCAGACATCTAACTAGATCTTACTTATCTCCTAAATTATTAAAAACGTAAAAAACAAATCCTTGGCAGGGCGATGCTGCTGGAGAACGAGAAATTCCTGTCGGAGCTGGGCAAGCTGTTCATGAAATCGCGGATGACGGGCAATTCGCAGAGCCTCAGGATTACGATGAAGCCCTATGACGGCAGAGAGAAGCCAATCCCACGCGGCAAACAGCTCGATGATGACGCGAGTTTGGTGCTGTTTCGAGCGGTGGTCGGTGCCGAGAAGATATCCACCGTCGTACGCCAAAAAGAGGTCGGTTTCGCGGGGAAATTGACCGCTGAATGGCGTCCATTGAGGAGGTTTCTCTAAATTCGGTTATAAGCCCCTAAAAATAGATATATTATTAATGATAATCGAGAAATAATATGCAATTCATACAGCTAAGGGGTAGGCGGGTAGTAATTAAGAGAGAAATGATAGGAAATGGAAGCGCTAAAGCCCGGAAACCGCAAATTTTCTTTTCTCGAAGCCCAAATATGTAATAGAAAGTGTTTCAGCAGTTTTCTAGTCACACGCAGCTATACTGGAGCGGGAAAACTGTTTAGAAAACTAGTAACCCTGTAAATTTTGGTCTAGAATCGGAACCGAAATCGTAGAAGCTATATTTTAGTGCGTAAAATCAAAATGAGTAAGGCTTTACATCCAGGAATAGTAAAAACAGAGTGAAAACAGGGCAATGTACGCGAGAAATAAGGCAACAACTCTTTAGCAGTCTACGAAAATGTTGAAAAACTAAATTTTAGGCTAAATCACCAATTTTTTAGCGGAAAAGCGATATTTTAGTGTTTTTAGTATCAAAATTCGTAGCGTTTCACGTTTAGAGACAATAACAACTGCGTAAAACGATAAAAATTAGAAAATAGAAAGGAAAAGCGGCTAAAAAGGGCGTTGTAGGTGAACCAGTTCCACGCGCAATACTCGGCCTGTCTTCTCCGCAATATGGATGGGCTGCAGCGGGCGAAAAAGACGACCGATGGATCGGCAAAGACTTCCGCCACAAATAGACCCAAAAATTAGCAGAATATTATTAAAAACTAACTGGAAAGATTACAGCTTTGTACAACATGTTCTTTGTGATGTTTTGTGCCGGGTTTCGGGCGATTTAGGGATTCTTTTCCCCCGCGGCGAAACATTGCCGACCGATTGTTCTCTAATTTATTGTTCTTTTCTTTCATTTTCTGTAATAAAAACACTTTTTCAGGGTCGTTTGCCGGGTGGCAGAAGCGGCACAAGGAGAAGAACAACAAGAAGAAGATGGACTTCTCCGAATTGCTGCAGCAGGCCGAGAAGAACAAGGAGAAGCTCGAGAAGAAGGTCTCCACCATCAAATCGACGATCGATCGTGAGCAGCAACAACGCTTGCAGCATCTTCAAAAGGTTGCTAGGGTTTTTGGGCCAGGAAAACGTTGAAAATGAAACTTTAGGAGCTCCTAAAACTGGCTAAATGTTTATTGCTTCTTTTTCAGCGCCGAGAAGCCGAGAAGGAGGAGCTGCGCCTGCGACAAAAACGGGAACTGCTCGAGAAACAGCGGAAGGCGGTAGAATACCATTTAACGATCCATGTTCGCGTGTTTAGGCTCTAAAACCAGAGGGACCAGCCGTTGATCGCGACAAAATTGCTCGATTCAAGGCTCAGAAAGGTTGGCATGGTTTTTGGGGTCGTTTTACGGGTTTTCGATTTAGAAGAAGACCGGATTCAGCGAGAGAAAGAAGCGAAGAAAGAGAAGGAAAGATTGGCCGAGCTGAGATTGCAGGCAAATGGCGGAAAGGTGACGATTTAACGGGGTTTCATCGGCTAAACCGATATTAGGCAAACAAGAAGATTGCCCGGCATTTCGGCATCGACCCGGTGAATATGCAGATCAGATATGGGAATAGCCATGAACATATCGAGACACTGCAAAAGAGGAGGAGCAAAGAACAGGTATTTTCTGGTGTTTTCAATGCGTTTAAATCCGTTTTAAAACCTGAATTTTCTTTTAGTCGAAAAAGGAGGCCGGGGAAACGTTTTGCGCAGAAAAATTGTGGTGCAAAAGCACGAATAATATTGAATATTCGTGATAATTGCTAATTTGGCAATTTCAGGAGGAACAAGACATGCTGGCCGACAGTCTTCGCGGCGGTGTCCACAAGGCGTTGCAACTCAAGCAAAAGGTATCACAAAAACACAAGCCCTACTGCCGGCGGGGTAGCAGATTTCGGGATCAATCATAAGCGCTCGAAAAGTCGGCCAGATCTGAGCTCAGTTCTCTCGGCCTTTGAAATTGTGGTATTTTTGCGGCATTTGCCGGCTTTTTGGAGGCTTTTCCGACAAACGCCTTTTAAGAACGATAAATTTTGAATTTTTGAGCCTTTCCCAGCCGGTTAAGTCGAATTTTTGGGGGAAAACGTGCAATTTGCATGAAAAATCACGAAAATTGGCAAATTCTGCGAGGAAATATGTGTTCGCCTCGTCGAGAGCTTTCGTTTGATACCAAGAACATCAAAAACGGACATTTCTCTGAACAGTCGCGGGTTATTTTTGGATGACGCTTTTTTTGAGGATTTCCTTTCTAGGCGGAACAATTGCGCGGTAAACTGCCAGCTGATGAGCATCGACGTGTCGGCACGAGCAAGGAGAACAGTCTGGCTGGAATGTCGTCTCGTCATCGCCATAGGTAGAGCGATTTTTATTTTTAAATTACGTGATTTCCTCCTGGAAAGGCGCTGCGAGGTCTTTGCGCCGGAAAATCGGCCGGAAATGACTTGAATTCCTTTATTTTTGAGATTTCAGTCGTGATCACTTCTCGCCACCTCGCGATTCGAAGGGACAACCGAAGAAAGTGGAGCCCAATTCAAAACGGCCCCCACCCCCGGCCGCCCTCGATTTTAGGTGTTTTTTTTTGGAAATTTGTAAGAACCGTAATTCCAATGAACATTGGGTTTTTGTAGTGCTTTCTACGGTATTATAAATATAATTTGTAGTTTTTTTGAAACGCAATGCTTCTAAAAACTATCAAAAAGGCCGTAGAAATTTCGTAAGAGCGATGAAACCTGCTTTTTGTGTTTGAAAAAGCGGAAATAATGGTCATTGTTTCAGTGAATTGATGGCGATCGCTTCGGGAAAAGCCGCTGCTCCAGCCAGAATCCAAGAAGAGAAGCCATCCTTCTCTTCTTCTGCTAATCGCCCGGAAGCCAAGCCCTCTTCTTCCGTCTCCCACAAAATGCCCACCATCTCGGCTTCCGCTTCCGCTACTTCTTCATCCCATCTCAAGCCGCATATGCCAAGGTTCTACTTTGAATTCCTGGAATTTGGTTCTGTCGCATTATCGGGGGGGGGACAACCTTTTCCTTTAGGTCCGATTCTTCCAATATCTGGCGGCGGTGTTTCTCTGCGTTTTTGTTTAATATTTCTGATCGTAGAAACCCTACAATTTTTAATTAAAAAATCTAAAAAATATTGATTTTTCGACCAAAATGTTGACTTTAAAATTTTTTAAGGTTTTAGATTGGTTTTCTGGCTGAAATATAGTTATTGTTTTGTTTGAAAACACCATAAAAGTGCTTTCTATTAATTACTAGGCATTTCTAAAATTACACAAAAATGCCCCCCCCCGGGATAATGCGAAAGAACCTTATTTTTCCAAAGTAAATTTTGCTTGAAAGAAAGAAAAATTGTCGATTTTCGTCCAAGCATGATCGATTTTTTTAGAAGCTTTAGATTTAGAAGCTTTTAGAACATTTTTGCATGTTTTTAGAATATTTCTCCATTTTTTGAAATACGCAAGAAATGGACACGGCGCGATTAAATCGTTGTTATTGTTGAAATTAATTTTGATACCTAAAAACTTGAAAAAGCGCTGCAAAAACTTGCGAAATTTTCGAAATTTTCGTCCGAAAATTACCTTTTTAAAATTATTGTTAATTTTTGTAGAAATAGTCAATTTTTCAGAAATCCTGGAGAAGGGCATTCGTCTGGTCGAGATCGAGATCGTGCTCCCCTTCCCCCATCCAGGGAAAAGATTGAGCGTCATCGCGAGAGAATGGATATCGATAGGGAGAGGGTCAAGAGTGAGAGACGGTTCGTTTTGATCAAAATATAAGTCTATTTTTTAATTAAAAATTGATAAAGTTCGATTATTCATAAAAATTGGATATTTCGGTTCTTTTGCATTATCGGGGGGGGGGGCAACCATGCCTTAGGATGATTGCCTTAGATTTTCCGCTTGTAAATGGTTAGATTTTACTAAAAGGCTATCAAAGCTCTTGCTGATAAATTACTGAGCATGCAGAAAAAATTCTGTCCCCCCCCCGATAATGCGAAAGATCCGGAAATTTTGTATTTTGCGAATTTTATGAAGTAATCGATGCCGGGCGAAAAATTGCGTTTTTGTATTGCATTACGGTACATTTTGGCGCTTTTGCATTATCGGGGGCTCTCTTTTTTTAAGTTTATTAATGTCTGGTAATTTAATAGGAAGTGTTTTAAGCGCGTTTTTAGTAAGCTAAAAATTTAGTAATATTTTAGTATATCTAAAAACTTTAAAACGTTGAAATTTCGCCGAAAATCCCCCCCCCGATAATGCAAAAGAACCGGAAATTTGGAATTTTGCGTGTTTCATCGCGTAATTGATTAGCCGTAATAATTGTTGGTATTTTCAGTGCCCCTCCCCCTGCCCCAATGCCCCAAAAAGAGAAGCGGAAGCCGTTCACGAAAGGTCCGACGCCTCCTCCAATCATTCCACCAGCTGTACCCGGAAAGAAATATCTACCCGGTGATGTCAGATATCAGGTAATATTGCCTTAAAATCGAAATGGGCCTTTGCCAGAAAAATTTCCCATTTTGAAGCGCCGGTTTGTTATTTGGATGACGTAACCGATTAGGGAAAATGATTCCAAACGGCTTTTTTTGATTGAAACTCCTTCTTTTCCAGCCACCAGCCCCTGGAGAGCGTCGAAAAGATGTCGAAAAGCAGAGCGGAAGCGGAATGAGACGGGAGAAGGCCTCCTCCTCCTCTTCATCAAAATCAGCACCACCATCGGCTCCGTCCTCTGCCCCTCGTGCTCCCCATCATCATTCCAGTCGGCCACCGATTAAGACGATGGGCGAACTGTTCAGCAAGGGATCGGCAGGTAATCTCCATTTTCGACTTCTGCTTCGCCGTTTGACCAGGGGCGCTCAATTTCATAGCGTAATCTGTTGCTAAATGGTTATTTGATGGCGTAATCTGTTGTCTTACTGTATTTTTTTGCAGAAAAGCGACGTGCCTCTGAAGCTGGAGACGGCCATTCATCCACATCGGGTGGTCAATCCTCTACAAAAAAAGGAAAATACACGGCACCGCTTGGCGGAACGATGAAGTACGGTATTTCGATTATTTGACGAAATTTGGAGCTTTTGCCTTATCGGGGGGCAGGGCGAATTTTCCCTCGTTGGTCCAATTTTTCTAATATCAATGGCTTTTTGATTTTTTGAAAATGTTCAACTTTTTTTGAGATCGGTTATTCCGCTTGAAAGATGATTCAATTTGCAAAAAGAAAAAATTGCCCCCCTCCCCCCCCGATATTGCATAAGTGCCAAAATCTTTCCGTTTTTTCAGGCCGTCGGATTACAGTGGGGGAAATATGCGCTCGAAGGAGACACAGATGATATTCGAGAAGAAGAGACGAGAGATGGAGAGAAAGAGGAGAGAGGCAGAGAAGCAGAGACAATTGGAGGGGATGAGTCTGTGAGTTATTGAGGGAGAGACCCTTTTAAATAGCTGTTGTTTAGATTGGAGAGGGAACGAATCAGAGACGCAGAGAAAAGGAAGGCCGAGCTCGGATTCTCTAGGGATGAGGTCGACGAATGGGAGGAGGAGCTCGAGGTATTATACCCGTTTAATGGCAAGATTTAATGGCGTAATCGATTAACCCGGGCCTGGATTCCAATAATTTGGGCTTTTTACATGGCGTAGCCTAATGGAAAAAGCAAACAAATTTATTTTTCGGTTAGAAGAGATGGCGTAGGCGTTTCCGGACTGGAATTTTGGTGGCGTAATCGATTAAATAGGGCGTGAATTTTAATAATTAGGGTTTTCTATGACTTTTTACATGGCGTAATCGATTGGAAAAGGCCCAAACGTTTTTTCCAGCTAGAATAGATGGCGTAATGAATCGCGCGCTCCCAATTACGTGGCGTAATCGGTTCTCGATTTTTCCAAATCCTATATAATATTAATCAATTTATTTGTTTGCAGGATGAGGACGACTACGACTCTGAAATGGACGATTTCATCGACGATTCTGCGGCCGATGATGAACGGGCACTGAGGAGGGAACTCGAGAGCGCTTGCCAGTATGTTTCTTTCTACACGCAAATATCTACCCCCGGGCCGGCTAGGTCTAGACGTGTACGCGACGCGCCGTAAAATGCAACTTTTCCTGAAAGGGATGCCGACGGCATAGTCAATCGGCTACGAGCTGGAAAGAAAATGTTTCTGCGCCTCTCCCGAGGGCGCGCTCTCTGCCCTTTTGGCTACTTGCCAATTTGTTGATGGGGGGGGATCGACACATGCCGTCGGCAGCCCTTTAAAATGTAAAAATATTAGATTTTCGACGAAAAACGACCGAATTTAGTCCAAGTTTTGATTTTCAAACATTTTTTAAAGCTTTCTAAAGAATTTTTGCACTTGAAGGACAGTCAGGTTTTATCAAAAGGGCTTTTAAAGTATTGTTCTTGCATTAATAGGCAGAATAGGGTTATAGCCCTCCCCCCCCCCCGATGTTGAAAAAGCTCCAGAATTCACCAAAATTTTTCAGGGGCATCAACAAGAACTACCACAAAAAGGATATGTGGAAGATTCGCGAGCGACTCATCAATGAAAGGGACATGGAGTCGAATTTTAAGCAGATCGATATGGTTCGTGTTTCTCTCTCTCGCTATCTCTCTCTCTCTCTCTCTCTGCTCCTTTCTATCGTCCCCGTCATTCCAGGAAGAGCGTCGTTCCCGTCGTCAGGGTCTTCTGGAGGATATTCGTGAAGCGAAAAAGGGCAACAGTGAGGTCATCTGATTACGCTATTACATTCCGATGTGCCTTTTCCCCCTTTTATTGTGTGTCTATTTTTATTGTCTTTTTGTAGAGTTGTCCTTATTCGAGCTTATATTGTTACTCGATTATCAGTGAAACACTTTGATTGTGCTTTTCTATTCTATAGTATTTTATATCTATTCAAAATGTCTGTGATCCCCTCCAATATCATATAATCGACAAATGTGATCATGCTTTTAATTTTCATATATCAATTCCAGCACGTGCTATTTAAAAACACCGTTGAAAGTTTATTGCTGGCGAGGGCACAGAGGAATAAGATAAATCATAAAAACATCGCCTTAGCAAAGATTGGCGTTTCGAGCGACAACAGGGGAAAAAAGACACACGCCTGGCATATGATAAAAGACGACTGGCGATCAGAGACTCGTATGACAGAGAGACACAGGCATAAGGCAGACAATTAAGACGGCACGAAGAACGGTGGGCTGATACATCAAATTAGACAATGAGAGTACGGAATCGAAATTAGATGGCGGTTAGATACGATCTGGCCCTCAGTCTTCTCGGTTCAGCAACTTAGCGGCTTTTTTCAAGGCCGTCTCCGCCGGGCCGTTGTTTTTGCCGGCCAACGTGTTCGCGGCGGCCGTCGCGCCCTTGATTACCTAAAAATAAGTTTATTATTTAGATAAAAAATAAAGTTAAAAGGGGACGGCAGCAAATGATTAGGAATTTCTAACTTTAACCTCAACCTAGTCTTTAATAACGGTTTACCTCTTCGATTCGTTGGATACAACGGACGATGAGATCCTCCTGGCAGTCAGTCTCCTCTGTGATCTCCGCGACGCCCTAAACAAGAGAGGAATTAGAAATCAAGCAAGAGCACGAACCTTGCCCTTCGCCCAAAGCAACACGACCTGAATCCAGTCAAAACAAAGATCGTCGTTCAACTAAAAATCGAATTTTTACATCGAAATAAACGAATTTCCGACCTCGACCCTTAACCCGCCGGCAGCCCGAGCCTTGGCCCTAATCCGACTCCGAGTCTCGAGAATGTCGCTGCGGATCTAAAAAATTAATTAACAGTTTTATTCTTTAGTGTCGCCGGAGGAAATGCCTAATCGTTGATATCATGTATTTCAAAGAAATTTCTTACTACAACCTGGTTCTGTTTCCAGTGGACAAACTATTCACAAATTTGAAATGTTCGCGGAAAAATCGGTGCTTCGCGCCGATTTTTGCCGAGTAATTCCCTACGGCCCCATGAGGAAATCTAAAACCGTGTTATGAGTTTCTTACCACTTTTTAGATACTTTTAGATTACTTAAACCCTACTTTTTTTTAGATATATTTTAAAAATATTTATCTAATTTTTAGCAACCAAAAATTACAAAAAAACACTTAAAACAAATCATTTATTATTAGCAGTTCGCGGAAAAAAATAAAATTAACTTCCCACCGTCAAATTCTTTTTGGAATTTTCAAATTTTTGTGGGGTTAATGGCATTTCGCACTAATAATTAAACAGATTAGCAAAATTTTCCAGATTTAAAGGGCACGTTCACGGACGTTTTTGGGCAAGAAAGCAAAGATTTTTGCCGCGGGAACGACGCTCTTCCTGGAAATAGGGGACGACAGGAAGGGGTAGACAGAGTAGGGTTCTTTCCTGTTAACGGGAGGGAACTAATTTTTTACCGCCTATATCTATAATCATATACCTTTTAATAAGCCCAAACCTATTTTTATAGTGTTCTATGTAGTTCTATTGCTCCAAAGCTATAAAAGCCTTTTTAAAAATTTCGAAAATTCGTAAGAAGGAAAGATCGCAAAAAAATTAAAAATTGACTAATTAAATTTATAATATATTCTACTGAATATAAAAATAGTGTCTGTCTGTGCCATTTTGCATACACTGCCGTGTCGTTGTTCCACTCATACCTCAAGACGGGTAGAAATCAAAGGGGCGTATAATACGTCATTAGGTGCGTGATGGTCTTGACATGACTGTACACATACCCGATCCTTTAAAATTAGCAATTTTCGATATTAAATTTAAGGTTATGTAAAACCCTTTTTGCTCGAAAGAATTAGGTCAGTCGGGAAGCTAGGGGGTCGCCTATACAAAGATGCAGAATTCAGGGATATTATGCAAAGGGTAGGATAGCATGGTGTCAAATACGGGGCCAGGGTTGAAAAGTCGCGACGCGGCTTTTCAACCCTGTTATTTAATTAAATATAGTTTTAATTTTACAATTAAAAAGAGAGAAGAGCCAAAAATTAGTTTAAATTTAATGAGTTAAATTTATAATTGATATATAATTAAGAATCCTACTATATATAAAAAAATAGTGTCTGTGTGTGTGTGTGTGTGTGTGTGCCGCTTTGCATGCAACTTCCGTCAGCGTGTCCGGAGGATATCTCACGAGGGGATGGGTGTAAGAAGGTGTTTGATACGTCATTAGACGCGTAATCGTCTATAGCTGACTGCACGCATATCAGATTTTTCAAAATCGATTGTTTTCGAAATTAAAATTAAGTTTTTCTTAAAAAATCGGTCACCCTCTTTGTTAGGAACAATTAGCATACGCCGGAAGTTGCGGTAGCCTATATAACGGGAAGAGGGGAGCGTTTTTCATTATTTTTAATCGCAGTTCGGGTGTATTATGCAAAGTGAAGAATTTCATGAACTCAGACGGGGCCAGGGTTGAAAAGTCGCGAAGCGGCTTTTCAACCCTGGTTGTAATTAAAAAAATTAAAAAGGAGCGTACCCGGCGAATGATGTGCAGATCTGGGCCGAGGGTCGCAGCTGGCGTGAATCGATGATCTACGGGGATGGTAGCGGAGAGCAGAGCAGCAATTTCTTCCGGAGCACGCCCATCCATTTTTCCATCGAGGATCAGCTCTGTGATCAGCACCGGCTGAAAAAAAACAATTAAAATTTTTCAAAAAAAGTAAAAATTTAATTTATACAAAAGAAAATTTAAAATTTAAATCAATTATAATTTTAAATAATTTGATTAAAAAAAGACTTTCGTAAAAATTTTGATTTCGAAAAACTGACATTGGCAAATGCCCCATTCAAAAAACCATCGCCATCTCAATGGATGACTAGAGGACAGGAAAAGATACCTGAAACTTCAGTTCACGGGCCGCTGCTCCCTTGTAGGTGACCATATCGTGCGTATCGACGTAGTTCAGCATTTTGAGCATCTACAGCAAACGGGAGAATTTTTGACCAATTGTAGATGATACCTTCAATCGATCCTGATAGTCAGTTGATAGAACCAGGCTGTCGGGCGAGAGTTGCTGCTTGATCTTCTCCACCACTTGCTGCTGACGGTGGCGCGCGAAGAACCAATCAACCTGAAAAAAGACATTAAAACACACTACATTAGTATTTTCTGGCAATTATCTTTTTGATGATGATATAGATAAAAAGAAACTAGCTTTTCTATTTAAATTTTAGTTTTTAATCATTAATGCAAAAATATAAAAAGAACCATTTATCCTTCATATTGTCTTGTTTGTCATTACTAAAATAGATATAGCAAGATCTACCTACTATTTTCAGGATTTATCGGTTTTTACTATCAATACTACGACATAAAAAATATTTTACTCTGCCAGACCGCCTTTAAAGAGACCGGCAAAGTGAAACACGAGATTATCTACGAAAACCAAAACCAATTTTTAAAAAAAAGTTAAGATTCATAAGATGAAGAATACCGACATGTTCAGTGACGTTGCCACAGCCCATGGGAGACCATTCGAATCGGAGGGTTCTGGCGTAGTTGTGGGCAGCTCGGACATGCAGCATTGTGGCTCGAATTAACGAATGCTTTCTCTGAAAAAACGGAACTAATTTGGTTCTGTCGCAATATCGGGGGGGGGGGGGGCGACAACTTTTTTTCCTTGCAATCTGCTTGCAATTCTAAATGTAAATGAGGGGAACAAAATTTTTCACTATCCTGGGCCATAAAAACTTTACAAATGATGCCTGATAAATATAAAAGAACAAATTTAAATGGTTGAACAATTTCCCCTCTCCGATCAATGAAGCATTTTTCCTTTCGGAACAGATTCGGAACAACAAATTTTACCTACAAACTGCGCCAAAGCACCTTTAATTACATCAATAAGCATTTATGGTCTCCATAATTTATGGATATTTAAGGACCCCCCGATATTGCAAAAGTTCCAATAACCGCAACATAACACGAAAAATACCTCAACGAGGTCCTCGAGCTCTTTATATTCGAATGGAGAGAACGTGTTGGTGTATTGGACGAGGTTGTGCATCAATCTCTCGTACGGCTCATTCAAACGGTGCTTCCTAAATTCACGAATTTATTCGGCTCGAAAATGATGGTGATTTCGCATAATTATAATTAAAAAATTAACATTTCACGAAGAAAACTTCGAAAATTCCCTTTTTGAAGAAAAGAAAAAAAATTCTTAATTGAATAATTATTCAATAAATATAAAATCAATATAAAAATTTTTCACTAAATAATTTCAAACTAGAAATTTTTAAATATTGTTAAAAATCTCTATTTTTAATTTTAATAAATTTCGGGTAAGCTAATTTGTGACACTTGAATGAAAAAACTAAGAAAAATTTGCGCGGCCTCCTCGTTAACGGAAAAGAAGCCAAATTCCACCTATGTTTGCGCCTGCTAGCCATCTTCGCCTCCTTGCGAAGATCAGCCGCCACGATATCGGCTCCGTCGAGTTTGAAGAGATTCTTGCAGATGCCCACCAGGGAGGAGGGACCGAGCTCGAGCAGTCTGCAAAATGGTCATTCAAAAAGGTGGGTAGATAGCAGAGAACATCTGGGATTATCCGCGGAAATTGTGTGGCGAAAATGGCAATATGGTGCTAGCTAGCAGGGATTCTTTGATATTGATTTGAAAAAGGTTGCGTGGCAAAAAACGAACGATGGACAAGTTAGCAGGGATTCTTTGAGAAAAATCACCTCATGCTAATCCCATCGTAGTTGCCAATTCGCTTCACACATTCATCGACACCATAGAGTACAAGGGCACGAACGTCCGCCTCTTCATGGCTTGCCTATAAAGAAACTAATTAGGATCATTTGAAAAACGTACGATGCCGACGTCCTTGATGACGAAGAGCTCCTCCTTGTCGCAAGGAATGACCACACTCAGCTTGTCGGCGATCATCTACAATCCAAAGAGGCTTAAATATACAAAAAAAATACAAAAATAAGCATTTTTTTTATAACGAAATAGTTCTTTTTATAACGAAATAGTTCTTTTTATAACTCAATAGAACATAATCACAATAGGTATCAAAATTCTCTTAAGAAAATGCTGTTGATCAGCCGGTACTTTCGCATTATCGGGGGGGGGGACAGGATTCAATTATTGTAATTTCAATATAGAAAGTGTTTCAATGTTCTTTTTTGCTATTACGAAATTCCGAGACTGTCTATAATTACTAAAAATAAACTTTCTACTAAAAAATGTAAAATTAGCGTTTTTTGGAATCAAGCCATTTTTAAAATTGTTTTAAAAGTGTTGTAAATATGGTTCTGCCTGAAATCAGGCTGGCTTATAACAAAACCATCAATAAAAATACCTCCACGAGAATGGCGACCCTCGTGCCGAGTCCGTATCTTCCCGTATTCACGACGACTGCCCGGCCAGCACTTCGGGCATCCGCGACGCGGTGCTGGACCCAGAGAAACTCCCACATGAAAGAGCGCCTGAAAAAAAACAGAAAATAAATAATTGTTTCGTAAAAGCAAAAACCCGATCCGACAAAAAACCATAGGGTCAGTTAAAAACGGTAAAAAAAACGTACAAATTATAATAATTCAGCATCGCTTCAACGTATGCCACGAAGCTGGCCCTCTTGAAGCAGGGAGGGCAATCAGGCTGGGTGATCTCCTTGAGCTTGTCCGACGCCTAAAAGGGCATTGAAGGGAAGAGGGGGCCTGTGGACTGACCAACTGGAGCTGTTCCTTCACCTTCAGCGCATTCGATGGCTCCAAGGAACGCCTCTCCGGCAACCGCTCGCTACTGCAAAAAAAAATAATTAAAACCGAATCTTCTCAGTGCATAATGCAAAAATTGATGCGCCCGAAACCGACCATTTTTTGAGGCTTTTATAATATCAGGGGGAACCATACAATATTTCCAAACAATGGAATAGGAGAATGTTTCTCCACTGCTTGGGAAGCTTACTTTAAAGATATTTAATTTTACTAAAAATATTCATAAACCTATTAAGTTGCTAAACATTCGAGGAAAACCGGTTTCCCTCCACATCCGATTTAAAAAATTAAATTTAATAATTTAAATTGACAAAATGGTTGGATGCGTTCGGGTTTTCGATGCGGGGAAAGGCAGTCCAGAAAATCCTAGTGCATGGTAGCAGCAGGCTTTTAGTCATGTTTTTACTAAAATTAAGCCATTTTCCAAGTGGAAAAATAATCCTTAAAAATGTTCCTTTTTAAAAAATTTTTGTCCGAAAACAAATCTACTTTGGATTTTTTTAAGTTATATTTTACTTTTTCAAATTTCTAGGTATCAAAACTAATTTCGACAATAGCAACGATTTGATCGCGCCGTGTCAATTTTTCCGCATTGCAAAAAATGGAGAAATATTCTAAAAACACGCAAAAATGTTCTAAAAGTTGAAGGTTCGGCCAAAAATCGATCATGCTTAGACGAAAAAAGATAATTTTAGTTTTTTTTTCAAACAAAATTTACTTTGGAAAAATAAGGTTCTTTCGCATTATCCGAGGGGGGGACCGCATTTTTTGTGTAGTTTTACAAATGTCTAGTAATTAATAGAAAGTACTTTTATAGTGTTTTCAAACAAAAATATAACTATATTTCAGCCAGAAAACCAATCTAAAACCTTAAAAAATTTCAAAATCAACATTTTGGTCGAAAAATCAATATTTTTTAGATTTTTTAATTAAAAATTGTTAGGTTTCTATGACCAGAAATATTAAAAAAACGCAGAGAAACACCGCCGCCAGCTATTGGAAGAATCGGACCTACAGGAAAAGGTTGTCCCCCCGATAATGCGACAGAACCAAATTTCAGGAATTCAAAGTCGAACCTTGGCATATGCGGCTTGAGATGGGAAGAAGAAGTAGCGGAAGCGGAAGCCGAGATGGTGGGCATTTTGTGGGAGACGGAAGAAGAGGGCTTGGCTTCCGGGCGATTAGAAGAAGAAGAGAAGGATGGCTTCTCTTCTTGGATTCTGGCTGGAGCAGCGGCTTTTCCCGAAGCGATCGCCATCAATTGACTGAAACAATGACCATTATTTCCGCTTTTTCAGACACAAAAAGCTAGAAAAAGAAGTTTTCATCGCTCTTATGAAATTTTTGGAGAAAAGGCGCGATTACCGCTAAATGGAGACCTTGATCAGACCAAGTTTAATTCCAACTGACCGAGTTCCGTTGTTGCTGAGAAAGTTGAGTAAGTGGTGGTCCTTCTTCCACCAGGACTCAGGGACAACTTCTAGCGGCATGAAGCGACACCAGGGTACCACCGGCTGCCTAAAAATAGAACATTGGAGCCATATATATTCCATCCATCCATCTCCCGGAAGAGCTAATTTTATTTTCCCGCGTATACCTTATCTTTTCTTATCTTATTCTGTTAATCGAAAATTATATATTTTTATAATGCTTAAGGAGTTTTTAATTACACGAAACGTCTACCATAATTAAACCTACTAAAAAAGCATAAAAACTCGCTATATTTGGTTACTAGGCCAACACGAACCAATACGAAAAATTCGAATCCCTGTGAATCTTCACAAATCTATGGTTTCTCGATTTCAAATTTTGCAGCTTTAGGAATAGTAAAAAAAATACAGCGTAAAAACATTTCTTCTAATTAGATTAACAAAACGAGACCCATAGAATAAAGCTGATTCCCCTCCCCGTTAACGCGAAAGCAACGTAAATTTCGGAATTAAGAACCTAACCAATCCTAAAGGCTCGAGCAAGGCAAATATCGACCCCATTCGACGATCGGGTTTCGGCAGATACGCGCCACGACAAACAACACGAGTTCGCCAATTTTCCTGCTCAAAAACTGAGCCGCCCCTCGTGATTTGGCGCGTCGCGTACATGTCTAGACCTAGCCGGCCCGGGGGTAGATATTTGCGTGTAGAAAGAAACATACTGGCAAGCGCTGTCGAGTTCCCTCCTCAGTGCCCGTTCATCATCGGCCGCAGAATCGTCGATGAAATCATCCATTTCAGAGACGTAGTCGTCCTCATCCTGCAAACAAATAAATTGATTAATGTTATATAGGATTTGGAAAAATCGAGAACCCATTACGCCACGTAATTGGGAGCGCGCGATTGATTACCCCATCTATTCTAGCTGGAAAAAACGTTTTGGCCTTTTCCAATCGATTACGCCATGTAAAAAGTCATAGAAACCCTAAGTTATTAAAATTCACGCCCTATTTAATCGATTACGCCACAAAAATCCCAGTCCGGAAACGCCTACGCCATCTCTTCTAACCGAAAAATAAATTTGTTTGCTTTTTCCATTAGGCTACGCCATGTAAAAAGCCCAAATTATTTGAATCCAGGCCCGGGTTAATCGATTACGCCACTAAATCTTGCCATTAAACGGGTATAATACCTCGAGCTCCTCCTCCCATTCGTCGACCTCATCCCTCGAGAATCCGGGCTCGGCCTTCCTTTTCGCTGTCTCCTTCGAGCGCATATTTCCGCCACCGTGATTCGACGGCCTGAAAAAACGGAAAGATTTTGGCGCTTATGCAATATCGGAGGGGGGGGGAGAGGGGGGCAATTTTTTTCTTTTTGCAAATTGAATCATCTTTCAAGCGGAATAACCGATCTCAAAAAATCCTTGACCCTTGAAAAAAAGTTATTTCCCCTTCTTTGATACTAAAAAACATCTAGGAAACGCGTAATGGCTAGAATACCCTTGAAAAAAAGTTATTTCCCCTTCTTTGATACTAAAAAACATCTAGGAAACGCGTAATGGCTAGAATACCCTTGAAAAAAAGTTATTTCCCCTTCTTTGATACTAAAAAACATCTAGGAAACGCGTAATGGCTAAAATACCCTTGAAAGAAAGTTATTTCCCCTTCTTTGATACTAAAAAAACATCTAGGAAACGCGTAATGGCTAGAATACCCTTGAAAGAAAGTTATTTTCCCTTCTTTGAGACTAAAAAAACATCTAGGAAAGCGGTTTTCGGGAGGCCCGGTTTCATACCTGAATTTCGGGCCAAAACCGGACCGGGCAAATTGCCCAACACTACCCCTCTCCCCCCGATAATGCGACAGAACCAAACTGGAAGAATCAAAGTCGAACCTTGTCATAATCGGCTTCACATTGGAAGTTGATGTAGCTGAATCGGAAGCCGGGATCTTGTCGATCGTCGGAAATTGCATTGAGTCGTCGCCCATATCCTACAAAATAATGCATCGACGAATATGGAATGAAAAAGAGATCAGCAGAAATGGAATCGCCCCTTCCCGAGAATTTTGGATCTTTCAAATCAAGATTGTGAGGCCCCTTACGTGGCAACGGCAAAAATGGATAGTAAAAGGAAAAGAAGTAAACGGAGTCGAAAAAGTATAGGAAAACCCTCACAGAACGCGCTTTTTGGAACATAGAAAAAGGCAGCAAAATACACGGGTGATCATGAAATAAAGTTCTTCTGCGCGAAAAACCCTAGGAAAAGGATGGGGAAAAGCTGCGAGCCGATTTTCAATCAACGAGGGAACATTTCTATTCTTTGGAAAAGCAACTTCACTCACTTTGCGCAAAAATGGTCGCTTCTAGAGGGTGTGGGTGTGAAAAAGTCCCAAAATTCGGAGGTGATCGATTCCCAGTAGGCCTACGCGACGCTCCAATATACGCCGCTTCAAGCTAAACTCTTGTTAAAAATGGCAACTTCAACTCATGAATTAAACTAATTTCATAATTAAGTTACTTCCGTGCTTAGCGCCATTCGATTTAGCGTAATTTGCTCGACAATCGTGGAAATGACTGTTTGAACCTAGAAAACCGAGGGTGCTAACCCCTAATGATCCAGGACGGACCGGGCCGGCCCGCAGTTTTTGCCACAGGGAAATATAGCTCTAGAAACGTAAAAGAGAATGTTTGTTTTTGTTTTCCCCCGTGATTTGCCTAGTTTTTTTTTGAAGGATTAACGCTTGTAGAAAGTTTTAAAAGCAAATTTCGCGTATAATCGGTCTTTTTTTTCAATATTTCTATCTCTCTCCACCTCTCTGTGTTTTCTCTCGTTTCCGATATCTTTTATTTCCGTGATATCCGTAAGGACTTCTTTTCAGGGGTAAAAAGATGCGTTTCACGCACGTCGCTCGTTCTTCATGGGACATCATGGCGTCAGTGATCATCCATCGCCCGCCAATCGTTGCCCCTCAAATGACGGCCATCGAGAAAAGGTTTCTTTTTCTTGTTTTCTGCTCTTATGAATTATAGATACGCAGCCGTGCAGTCGCAGATCGAGAAGGAGAATTCACTGCTCAACGACTATGAGATCAAATCGAAAAAGGATCAGATGTAAGCCCCTCTTTTTTCAGGTCAATTTAAACTTGGTCTTTTCTTTGCAGATTACTGGAGAGAAAGGCCAAACTCGAAGCGGCCGGTCGTGATCTGTCGGAATTGGAGGGAGAATTGGAAGTCACCAATCAAATGCGCGAACAAGAATGGCAAAATAAAGCCACTCAACTCGCTAAAAGGTAGCATTTCTTTCAAAAAACATCCGTGGATCAGACAAATGGCCAATTTTGAAGATTTTGCTATCAATCGACAGCTCTCGACGAGGCGAGGCAGATCCCTCCTTTCTATTGATAGTAAAATCACAAAAATTGGACACTTCTCCAGACTTCTAAAGCAAAAAAATGATGATGCCGTCGGAAAAGACATCAGAATTCCGAAATCGTCGTTTTTTTAAAGCCTCCCGCCAGAAAATCCGCCGAAATGCCAGCCTTTTCGCTAAAAAGAAACGTGTACATTTTCGTCTAGTCTAGAAACGCCTGGTAGCTTTACAAGAAGTATTTTATTAGCGTTTCTAGTAAAATATACACAGATTTCATCGAGAGAAACTATCTAAGACCGAATCTATCTGGAAAACTGGAAATTTGACGATTTTTGGTGGGAAAATCAATATTCTTCGTTTTTCAATAAAAGTTTTAAATTTTTAGGTTTAGGAATAGGAATAAAAAAGAGTCTGAAACGACTCTATCTTTATTAGAGAAAATGGGTCCTGAGAAAAAAATGTAGTCCCCCCTCCGATAATGCCAAAGAAACCTTTTCTTTTTGTAGATACAAATTCGACGATGCTGAGAAGATTGAGGGTGACGTTGATGAGAAGGATGAAAAGAGATTGGCCGACAAGGAATTGGTACTCGTCGTGAAACAGCGATATGGAAGAGAAGATGGATATCAGAGTCCATGGCAATTCCCAGAAATATCCACGCGACAAGGAGAACCCCTCAGACAGGTCACTTTTCGCTTCTTTCGCATTATCGGGGGGCTAAATTTTTTCCTAAACGTAAAAGTTTTATAATTTTGATTAAAAACACAAAAATCTCGGTTTTTGAGCAAAATTTCGACTTTTTGCACTTTTTCAAAGTTTTTTCTGGTGGAAATACTGATGTATTCCACTAAAAAACATTATGAAAGTGTTGTGTTACGTTATTAGCCATTTCTGGACTAACCAGCCGATTACAGCCGCTTCGCGACTGTAATCGGCTGGACTTCGGGCTACCCTCCATATTCTACATCACCACATTTCATCCCTACCTTACGCTGATGCCTTCATGGCAATACCTACACTGATGGCTTCAGATACCTGCTCTAGCCAACCCCCCCCCCCCCCCACAAAAACATAGCTACATTCCCGATGGCTTCAGATACCCCTCCGAGCCGAAACCCCCTTAAAAAACTACCAATACCTTCCTGGTGGCTTCAGATACCCCCCATAGCCGAAATACCCTTAAAAAACTACTTTGATGCCTTCCTGATGGCTTCAGATACCCCCCATAGCCGAAATCCCCTTAAAAAACTACTTTGATACCTTCCTGATGGCTTCAGATATCCCCCATAGCCGAAATCCCCTTAAAAAACTACCAAAATACCTTCCTGATGGCTTCAGATATCCCCCATAGCCGAAATCCCCTTTAAAAACTACCAAAATACCTTCCTGATGGCTTCAGATATCCCCCATAGCCGAAATCCCCTTTAAAAACTACCAAAATACCTTCCTGATGGCTTCAGATATCCCCCATAGCCGAAATCCCCTTTAAAAACTACCAAAATACCTTCCTGATGGCTTCAGATACCCCCCATAGTCGAAATCCCCGTCAAAAACTACTTAGATTCCATCCCGATACTTTAAATGATTTAAATAATAAATTAACATAATTAAAAAGTATTAAAAGTATTAAAGTAACTTAAAAAGCTATCTGGGCGCGCGAAGGGGCCTGGGGAAGAGGGGCGAAGGGAAGGGGGCGTGGCCTCCCGGGAGAGGGGCCCCCCACCCCTATTACCAAGGAAAAAACTTTCAAACTTAATTTTAATAATTTAAATTAAAACTTTTTCATAATTTTTTTATCAGTTTGGGGGTTTCTGACCACGCTCTATCCGAATCCGAAGAGAGCCGAGCTCTAGCTCCTTTCCCCTTCGAGTTGAATTCGGGACATGACGGACAGACAGACAGACAGACAGACAGACACCACTACTTTTTTATTATAGTTGATACAAACTATTTGCCCCCCCCCCGCCGATAATGCGAAAGATCCAGCACTTGTTACCGTAATACCAACTTGTTGTTGTTGTTTTTCAGAGTGCGGAACGTTGTGTGGGCGAATTGTTGATGGGTGATGTATCTATTCAAGGAAATGCTCCAATATCTGTCTTTACCCTTCGGTATTATTCCTGATGCAAAATGATAGAAAAGTGATTCTTTTTAGATATCCCAAACCGATGGCCGATGCAAAGAAGAAAAGCGGCTCCAAAGTCTTTTTCTACAATGCCATTTTGGGGGCAAAGACGGCTATCAAATTGAATACAACAGAGGTACCAATAATTATTCTTTCTAGATTTTTCGGTTCTTGTGCATTATCGGGGGGGCTACTTTTTATCCGATTTTTTGAACGGATCCAATTTTTCAAATAGCTATTTGATAACGAAAGGGTTTGCGAAACCATTTTTTACTATTTCCATGCTGAAAACTTTACAAATTTTGGTCGAAACATACCAAAAATCGGCTTTTTATTATTTTCGCTTAACAAAGTGTTTTTTGAAGGTTTTTAGATAGATAGTTTTACAGACTAAAAACACTATTAAAATACTAATTATTGAATTACCAGGCATTTCTAGCCTTGTACACCCCCCCCCCCGATAATGCAAAAGAACCTTGGTTCCTTTTCAGTTTCCGGAATACGCGTGGGTGTCAGCGGAAGAATTTGTGAAACGAGTTCCGGGCACCGATTATCGATCAGCCGTCAGAACATCCTTCCTCCAATAAATATCCGCCAATCGATATTTCGTGATTAGTTTGTAGTTGTTGATGTTTTGATTGTTTTGCTCGGCTTTCTCTGTGTCCTTTTTTGCAATAAATCTGAGTTGCAACTCATACTCCCCTGTAATTATAGAAAAACAATATTTATCAGTGATTTATTTCCCATTTTCAGTCTGGAATCATTTGTCGAAAATTAACAAGTAGGTGGCTGGATCGAGGGATCTGTCCGGAAATTGAGAGTTGTAGATGGCGCAGAGGAACACTAAAAGAAGATATTGGAATGTGGTATTGGAGTGATTAGCTTTGTAAAAGCAATTCGAAGGCTGTTCGGTTCGTTTTGAATTAAAAGGCGGTTTCCGAGTCAACCGAACGACCCCGATACTACAGGGTGCGGAGAAAGTTTTGGGTGGCAGAATTGGTTATGTTTTCTCCAATTGCGTGCTCCAGCCTGGATTTTTTTTAATGGGAGTCTAAAAAATGGCAACTTGAGAAACACTAGGCACCAACAGATCAACAAAATTTTTGGGAGTAAATGGACCCGGGCCAAGGACCTTTTCTTCGGCCTGCGGCGCCGAGAGCGAGGGACTGGCCTAAATTTCGGATACCGAGAGCCTCGAAATATTTTTTGTTGTTGAACTATCAAAAAGCAAAAAGGTAAATTTGCCGAGGATCCGAACCCTCGTCTATTTGCGTGGTAGACCGGGCGTCAAGCGGTGCTTCCAGGTTATCGGGGGTCGGTTATTTTAGCGGGGGTCGGTTGGCATCTTCTTTTTGTTTAGCCTATACCTCGCTAGTGATAAATTGTAGTTTATTTTAATACTGTTTTTAGTAGCTTCCGGTAATCAAAAAGTATAAAAATTTTTAGCCTATAGTCACGAAATCTAGGGTTATAGCGCGGTTTTAGCCATTTTCATATACGTTCGACCGAAAAAGAAAAAATTTTTCTACAGGTTTTATGCAGTTTTTCTTAATGTCTCCTCCCCCGCTAACAGTCCAGAACCATTTCAAACGGCGCACAATTCTATAAAAACAACCAGCTTTTAATTAGCCGAACCGCACGATATTATAGAAAAAAAAGTTCGCGACCGACCCCCGCTAAAAAACCGACCCCCGATAACCTGGAAGCACCCGTCAAGCCACTATACCAAAGGGGGCATGGCGATGGGCGGCGGGAAAGGCCTCTTCTGTCCCGGGGGCCGGTTCATCCCGGGAGGGAGGACTTCTGGTAACTTTACAAAAATAGCTTTTTTAGTTTGAATGCGCCGAAAATTTGCAAAAATAATAAGATGCGCGTGATCCCCACTATCGAATACATAAGTGTTCCAACTTACAGACCGAAATTCGATCCGGGCTTCGAGTTATGGCCCGGACACCACGGCTCGTCGCCCATTTTGTTAAGGATTTTCACCATTTTGGTTGTAAAATCGTTGAATTACGGAATTTCGCCAATTTCTTTTCTCTTTTCTCGCTTATAGGGTAGGAATTATGAACATTTGGCATGTCTCATTCGAAAGAGCGTTTTTCCCTTACCTAACACTGCTCTTTTTATTGATTTTACAGGATATCCACGTATTTATCCTACTATATATAAAAAAATAGTGTCTGTGTGTGTGTGTGTGTGTGTGTGTGTCTGTGTACATTTGCATGCAACTTCCGTCCGTATGTTCCAGTCGTATCTCAATAAGGGAAGAAGTTAAGGGGGTGTATGACACGTCATTAGGTGCGTAATGCTCATGACACGACTGCACGCATATCAGCTGAGGCAAAAAGTGCTATTTTCGATATTAAAATTAAGTTTTTGTGAAAATCTCGGGAACCCACTTTGTTAGGAATCAATTAGCATACACCGGAAGTGGGGAGAGCCTATATAAAGGGGTGAAGGGCGAGCGCTTTTCATTTTTTATTCGGGGCGTCGGCTCGAATTATGCAAAGTGTAGAATATCATGGGGGGCTAGACGGGGCCAGGGGTGAAAAGCCGCGTAGCGGCTTTTCAACCCTGGTTCTTATTATTATTTCAATTATTTCCTGACGAGCAATTCTAAGAGACTCGGCGAAGAATTAGCATTATGCGATGGGAAATCGGGTACTAGACTGTTGGCAGGGGGAAAACTAATGTTGTTAATAGTATATAATGTTCCCTTTTATGTCGTTTTTAGTCGGTTTTGATTGCTCGAAAGTTATCACAAATTTTTGTACTTTTTTGGCCATTTTTCATAAATTTTAGACCAATAACATTTGCCACTTACCTTTGCCATAAACTTCAATTCGGAATCTATGCAACTCTGAAACAACCAACTCGTCAAAGTCAAGCTCTTCTGGCTGAAATGGGGGCAATATTTGAGTCTGAGAATAAAGAGAAGAAAAGGAGGGGGAATAAGCTGCTCATTGTTCTTACACCGAGTCGTTTTTAGGTAATCTTGGAGTTTTGCGATGTGACATAGCGCTCATTCGATAGAACTTGGAATTCTGAACAAATCCCATCTTCGGTCGCGGTAGGAAATTGGGCTCTCTACCGCAGACAGCCCAGCCCCTTCTTATCGCCTCTCCGCTTCCCCCTTCCCGTCTCTCCCTTGGCCTAGTGATCGAAGGCGCTGACCCAAGCTGGCAGTCAGGGTTCGGTTTTGTTCCGCGGCGAGCGCCTCGAATGAGCTATGTCACATAGAAAAATGCCAGGATCACCTAAAAGCGGCTCTTTATTCTTAGGAGAAGAAGCGCTTCTCAATCCTACCATCCATTTGGCCAATAATTCTAGATCAGCATCCGTATCATCAAGAAATGTCATCATTCCATTATGAAGTGTTCGAAGGTGTCTTTCGTACTTTTTCTAAATACGGTAAGTGTCAAGGGGAGTGTGCTGTAGTCTACCAGAAATAATGGAATATCGGGATATCTGGCATCGTCGAATGGGTTACGGACTATCTGGGGGTGCTTCGGCTGAGCAATCCGCGTTTCATGTAAATATCCCGATTGTTGTGGCCGAGATGGGCAAATTGCCAGCTGAAAATGAATGGACAATCTTCTTTTGAATGCATTCATCTTGCATCTCGTTGTCAAGTCCATCATAGTTGCATGGATTCGCGGGGGGATCAATTCTTTTCTTACCGCCTCGGTTGGCCCAGTAATTACAATAGTGTTTTATATTGTTTTTAATACGTTTTAACTATATTGAAAGTAGAAAACTTTGCATGTTTGCAATGTTGCAATGTTTGCAAAAAGTCGAACATTTGGTCATTTTCGGTCGAAAAACAATTTTTCGACCTAAAAGGAAATTTTTAATCGAATTTTGTACAGTTTTTATGCTTAAGAATGGTTAAAAACAATGTAGAAACGCATCCACTATTCATAAAAAACTTTAGGCTTCGGCGGAAAAAAACGAGGTCCTAAAGGACCCAAAAAAAGGAAATTCCGCCAGTTTGCCAAAACCATTTATAACCCGAAAAATCTCTGGGTTGGCCAAAAACGATTTGCATACTCGAAATGAGGGCAATAAACTATTCTATGCCTCATTGCTTGGCATCGTTCTCTTGACAATGGAAATATAGAGAGAGAAAATAGATAACTTACATCAATAAACGATGTGAAATAGTGGATGGATGGATATTTCTCATAATCCCAAGTCATCTCTATTGGGGCTCTTTCGTAGGGTCCAAAGTCTAAAATGTCAAAGATCAGTTTTGCGTTAGAAACAATTTTCGTCTTATTCGATTCAATGAATTCTCTCACTTTTGTATTGCCAATTCCTTCCCCATCCTTCACTCCACAATTCTTTGCATTCTTCGCATTCCCATGGAATTTCTGAGCCGTATCGCTGAAAAATGACACATTTCAAGAGGCCTGAAAAGAAGAGCTTAGGCCTACAAGGGAACCTCAAGTTGGCACGGTGGAATTTCGAAAAACGCTCGCGGCTACCCCTAGGTTTTCGGCTATGGCGATTCCAACGGTCTAGTCAGAATTTCCTAAATGAGCCTCTGGACAGAGATACAGCACTTCCGGAAAATGGTCAATTTACATTCGGAGGAATTAGCATTCACCTCAGGGTTTATGAGGGCTTCCCATCTCAGAAGAATCACCAGTTGAATGGCCGGGTGGTAAGCGGCTAGCTTGTTAGGATACTGACCAGGGTTCGAATTCGTTCACGATTTTTTTGTTTTGCTTTTTGACCGGAACTTTCCGCCCAATTGCAAGTTTTGATTTTTACTATAAGCAAAATTTTTGGTTATGGCCCCAGGCTGATTACTCCCAAGAAGCCTCAAAACACATTCCGTTTTTTACCGAGGGGCCACTATGATTTACTCGTATGAGATTTTTTGCATTTTATTGGCCTTGCTAATGCCTTTGGTCGTTTTAGAAAGAAAACGAATTTTCGAAAAAAAGTGGCCAAAACTTGCAATTGGGCGGAAAGTTCCGGTCAAAAAGCAAAACAAAAAAATCGTGAACGAATTCGAACCCTGGTCAGTATCCTAACAAGCTAGCCGCTTACCACCCGGCCATTCAACTGGTGATTCTTCTGAGATGGGAAGCCCTCATAAACCCTGAGGTGAATGCTAATTCCTCCGAATGTAAATTGACCATTTTCCGGAAGTGCTGTATCTCTGTCCAGAGGCTCATTTAGGAAATTCTGACTAGACCGTTGGAATCGCCATAGTCGAAAACCTAGGGGTAGCCGCGAGCGTTTTTCGAAACTCCACCGTGCCAACTTGAGGTTCCCTTGTTAGGCCTAAGCTTGAAATGTTGTCAGCGAAAAAGAAGGAAATCATTAGCCTTTTCTTTGGCTGATTTTTGATTATCGACTGTTTCGAGGCCAAAGTTGATGAGTTAAACTTTCAACTCTATTGAAAGTTTTTCCACTGGTTTTAGAAGTTTTAGAAATGTTAACTATCATACCATTTGACATTGTCGACAACGACCGACCGGTGGTTTCTGAAAAAAAGATGGCAAATTGGAAAGCAATTCATTTTGTCAGAGTTTAGTTAGAATTAAAAACATATAAAGTGGCATACATTGGAACGAATCGTCAAGAAATGGCATTCCCCTCGATAGTTGCTGATCACTTTTCGAAAGTATTCATCCGTATCACCCCCCATCCGAAACCTCTTCGTCGCGCGCAACGACCGGAAGAAGCCGCTCACCTGAATTCAACCGTCACCTCATTTCTCTTCACCATTATAAAGGCATTTTGGGGTGATTTTTTTCGTATCTCGGCTCTTTTTAGACTTACAGACCCGGCAAGGATACCAAAATGTAGCTCTTGCTCTGTAAAATAAGGCTACAATGCATTTGAGTCGAAAAATAGCGGAAAGTTCAAAGCATAGCGGCTTAATCTTTTCAACCCTCAAAACACTGTAAAAAAATTCCTAGCAATTTTTGCCGCAAGAAAACAGGTTTTTTTATAGTAATTCGACGACGGCGAACATTTTGAGATACTCCACTCATTGATAGGACGTCTGAAAAGTTGCGGCGGGGGGGTGAACTAGAGTGTAGCCACTTTGGAGCCTTCGATATTGCCGGTATTGCAATACCTCAAATGCAGCATCTTCTTCCATCCTCGGCCTCTTCCAACCGTAGTACTTTTCCAGAGCCTGTAATTCATATCTTTTATGTTCGTTCTTGGTTTCCTCTAATCTCTCACTCCCTCTCTCTCTCTCTCTCTCTCTCTCTCATTACAGCGCGTCCGAGACAATTTGTTCCAGACGTTGGGTTCGACTAGTCGTTGTGACACCATGTATGTGACTGACCGTGGGATTCGCCTCGAATATAGCATGAATCTTCTTGATAGTACGGCTGAGACGAGCAAGGGTGGCCATAAATCCATTGAAATCAATCGGGTATCGGCTAAAAAAAAACGAGGATTTTAATATAAGCTAACTGAAGAAAGCATTCGACCAAATTTCCTTGCCTCAAAATATACGAATTATTACGGGGGGCCCTACGCACAGGGCACTCGTTTCACCGGTAAAGGAAAAAGGCCTGTAGAAGGCCCAAGTATACGATTAAACGATTGTAAATTGATATAAATACTCTCAAATAAATAATATACATATATATACTGAATTAACAATAGACAGCTAAACCACAAGATAACGGGCCAAAATATCTTTTTTTTTCGATGAAAATACAGTTTTTAGCTTGATTCTAAGGTTTTAGCCATTTTTCTGCGATTTCTCGACGGAATTGGAATTAGCATAGTCGAATTAGTCAGCCTTGACCGATTTTACAAGCTAACCCGGTTATACGTCGATTCTAGCAATTTTTTTGCCGTACGTAACCTTACCAGTGAAACGAATGCCCCTGTGCGTATGCCCCCCCCCCCCGTGAATTATTTCCCGATGTGTATCAGTGTAATCGCAAGTATTTTCATTGTGTTTAGGAATATTTTTTTGCATTTAACCGATAAAGTTATTTAGACAACATCCAAAAATTCAAAAAATTTCTAATTTCGATTCGAAGGCTATATTGTTGCGTATTCTTAGGATTGTAATTTTTTATTTAAATTTTTATAAACTCTAAGGACCGGCGCCATACCTGGTATACGTGTCACTGTGGTCGCGCACAACAAATAAAGACTGAGTCTGACTATCCACCACGATCTCGCACCGTACCCCAGGCCATCTCCGGTAGTCTATATCATCGTAATTCGCGAATATCAGCCGAGCAGCTCGCACCACAATCTGCAAATACAATTGCCAGCATCTACTTTGAGCCCCCGATTTATTTGAATTGATCAAAGAATCTCTGCTCGCCCCCCTTCCTCATCGTAATTCAAAAGAAACAAACTTTTTGGGATTGTGCCGTCGCGGGCTGGCCATCTTCTTCTTCTTCTTCGTTTCCTTCGATTGTTCTGCCGATACACGCGGCATATTCTATCCTTTTCGGCATCATATATCGACGATCAATGGCATTTCTGCAAGAATATTATTTGATTAACATGACCTATTTAGAGGGATAAAAGAAGCGATTTGATCTCTATAAATACCTGAATCGTCGATTGACATGCCGTAGAATGAGATAATGGCTGAATGATAGTTGATCGAGTAGTAGAGAGATCTGATCATCCGACAACCCATCTACAGCAAACATTTTATCTAGAATAATTGACGATTTTATAGAAGGACATTCCTAATGTAAGCTAGTTCTAGTTCTAGGCTAGGCTAGGCCTAAGCTCGGCCTATACTCAGCCCACGCTAAGCGAAGTCCAAGCCTAAGTCTAAGCTAAGCCTAGCCCAGAACTAGACCTCAAAAAAAAGATGCCCCAACACCACTGGCTCCAAAATCTCCTCGATCTCTGCCAATTGCCGCTATCTATCGATTTTTTTTTTGAAGCTGGGGGCTCTAGGGAATTATATGGACAAGATACTCGGCATTAATGCCTAGGGCCAGGAACTTTTGCCGCACCCTGTAGTATGTGTTTCTCGCATCCTTGGCGAAAGTTTGTTTGAAGGGGCGGGGTTTCAAATGCTTGCTTTTGCTGCCATTTGGCTCTTTTTAAAAACCGCTTTTTTGAAAGTGATAGTAGGCTGCCTGATGGTGTGGTAGTTGGTAAAAGTCGCGTAACGGGGGGGGGGACCAATCACCAGGGGAAACCAATATGACCTCATCCGGCCTCGTGGTTCCTATCCATGCATGCCATCGGATGGCGCGTCGAAAATACTACGAAGAGGCGTAATTTCAGACCGCAAAAAAACTTAATTAACACTGCTTTTTAAATTCCTTTATTTAGCTTAATCATTTTAAATAAAGTTTGTCGGGCGGGAATTAAATATCTTCATATAATTGCCGACGCTCTACCCGGTGGCAAAGCTACGGGATTATATTTGGTTGTACCATAAGTAACTGCAGTATTTTGATCGTAAAATTTTCATTTAACCCACCGTTCAGCTCTTCCAATTTTCAAGATGATGAGCGGTCATCGGAAGGAAGATGGGTCCGGGATGTCGCTCCCTCGGGTCGATGGGCGCCTCGGGGAAAACATTTATAAAAAATGTTTTAGTTGCAGGAATTTTTCGAAATTTTTAGGGCAGATAGTACCCTTCTGGTCTAAACCGAGGGCTAAAAACGGGACACCCTGATGGTGAAATTGTTCCGGAAAAGGCGGCCAAAGTCGTCTGCAGCTATACTTATGGTACAACCTAATATTTGGAAAATATTATTACCCGGTAGATTTTGTGTTTTTCCACTCTCCCACTTCTCCTTTTATCCAGCCCTATTAGGGGTAGCTTCATCAACAAATCCCTCTAGGGGCTCGGGGAGCCGGCTGTGAGCGGTAAGCGTGTTTGGTTGTAGTGGTGTGCGCTCGCAGCATCCATCGCACAGTCATGACCCTGACACCGAAACGGCCCCCCGCGTACACCACTTGCAAACCTCACTCCAGCTTTTCCCCTTTCCGGCGACCTTTCTATACAGGGTGTCCCCCAAAAAAAACCCCTCTAGCGGTCCGCAGTAATGTCCGTCTTTACGATTTAGGCATCTATCGAAAGATTCCGATGATTTGATGCTCGAAATTCCCGGATTTTTCTTGCATTTACGAAGATTTTTGGGGAAAGGACTGACGGTTTTTGTTGCTTTTCCCATGCCAAGGTTTTAGCAACAACAACAAAAAAACATTTTTTGGAATTTTGGCACCTTTTCTCGCGGCGCGAGAGCAGCTTTTTGCATGCCATTTGAGAAAACGCAGCCTTGATGGGGCTGAAGCCGATTAAATTGAGTTTTTGGGCAAAAAACGGGTAGCTTCTTCATCAAAAAACGCGGAAAATCGAGCTAGGAGTTCGGGAATTGCGAAAATTCACAAACATACAGCTCAAACACAAGAAAACGAGCAGCATGTCTTTTTTCGATGTGAACACGGGTTTTAGCTCATTTCTGGGGTTTTAAAGCTAATTTTTCGCCTATTTCTCGACGGAATCTGCGTCAGGGTAGCCGAATCGGTCAGAATTGATTGATTTTAGAAGCTAAACCGGGATATATCGGGTCTACCAGCTATTTGGCCTTATGAAGTTTACAAGTGAAACCAATTTCAGCCGGAATTTCCCGAATTTGAGAGGCCAAAACAAGCTAAAAGTTTCTAAACAGCGGCTTGGCACACACCCGTCATTTTCAAATTGTTCGCCAATGGGCGAATGTGTGCTATTTTGTTTTCTTCTATTCTTTCGTTTTATTCCTTTCAAAAGACCAATATTAATTTTGTCTATTTTCAGATGTTGAGCTTAACAAGACGCGGCATCGCCCAATCGTTGTTTCGCGCCATCTCGACGGCCCAAGAACCGCTTCGCATCGATCGACTTGATGGAGAGGATCAAGATAGGCATTTCACCGTTTATAATTACCCATTTATAGTTTACGAATCGTCGTTTTGAGGTTGAAGAAGCCGGAGACGCGCAATGCCATCAGCAAATTGATGCTTTCACAGGTAAACTTACCAAGATAAAAACTATTTTCGCGTTTCTAGCCGTTATGCTAGTGATCGAGCAAGCTTAGCGGTTTTTAGGCAGAGAAAGTTAACCTAGAACATAAATTAATCCAAAAAATGTACCTCTTCGTTCAAAATGGTATGAAATTCAGCAAAAATTAGCAAATTTTGCAGATTGTTTCGTATTTTTAAGACTTTTTTGAGATTCAGGACCACGGAAAGTACTGCAAAATGCGTTAAATTTTATCAATAAGCATTTCTAGACCTGAAACCCCCACCAACGTTCCACACCCGTTTTCATTCCACTTTTTTGCAGTTTCGCGAGGCGCTGGCCGGGCTGAAATTCGATCGAAGCGCCCGAGTGGTGATCCTGAAGAGTGATGTCGATGGAGCATTTTGCGCAGGTGATTCTAGCGCCAAATTAGATGATTTTCGAGGTTTTAGGGGCAGATCTGAAAGAGCGGAAAGCGATGAGTGCCGAAGAAGTGCCCCGTTTCGTCGATTCGATCCGGGCGGCCACCACGGAACTCTCGTCACTTCCCGTGCCCACCATTGCGGCCATTGATGGGTACCTTTTGCTGCTTGAGTTTGAGAATATTGGATAATTTGGCAACCAATTTTTCTAATGCGATTAGAGAAAATATATCTTGACCCATTTTACTTTTTGGACACGTAAAACCTACAAATTGGAATAAAAATCCCGAAATTTCCACTTTTAACTCGTACTCTAAGTGTCTTCGATAATTTCTTCAGGGAAATTTCGCTAGATTTTAGCAGAAAACCCTGGTAAAATATTTAGTATCCCGTTGCTAGGCATTTCTGGGCTTATGGCGAAAAATAATTGAGTTTTTCCCCCAGAAATGGTCGATTTTCGAACAAAATGTCGGATTTTTAAGCATGGAAGTTCTATTTTCAGACTTTTCAAAAGCAGGAAGCATAAAGTCAGAATGCCTTAATTTCAAAATGCATAGAGTTCAAAATGCGTCAATTTTTGAATTCCAAAATTTCACGAGGTAAATTTGGGGTGTAGATTAGGATTTTCGCGAATCAAATTTAGCTCTTTCGCAATGTATGCCTTCTGAGATTTATTTTTATGGATTCTGAGTTTAGATGTTCTAAAATTTATGCATTCCAATAGAAAATCATACAATTCTTTTGCGTTACAGTGTGGCGCTGGGCGGTGGCCTGGAATTGGCGTTGTCGTGCGATTTGCGCGTTGCGAGTGATGGGGCCAAGATGGGGTTGACGGAGACACGATTGGCCATCATCCCCGGAGCTGGTATGCAATATTTTAAATCTTTCTCTAATCTATACAAAACCATGAAAATATACATCTATGAAAACGTTAAAAAGTCGAAATTTTGCTTAAAAATAGAATAATAGCTTAATAGGCAGTCGTTTACCAGTGTTGTCAGTAAAATATAACTATCTAGAAATCTGAAAATCCAGACGAATAGCTGCAAAAACTTTAAAACTGTAAAAAGCTGGGAGAAAAGCCGAAATTTTAATAAAAAAATGATGTTTTTCTTATTTTTCAAAAAATTTGCTATTTTTTCTAGTTTAGGAATAGTAGAAAAATGTTTTAGAAACACTACCACAATCTATATGTCCAAAATTAGCTCCTAAGAAAAAGTTGCCACCCCCCGTTAATGCGAAAGAACCGAAATTCCTTTTTTCCAGGTGGTACTCAACGATTGACGCGCATCGTCGGCGTCGCCAAGGCCAAGGAGCTCATCTTCACGGCAAAGATTATTGGGGCAACCGTACGTTTTTACCGGTTGGTTGGGAAATCCCTGTTTTTTCCAGGAAGCCGCCGAAATAGGACTGGTGAACGCGGCCGTTGCAAAAGGATCCGATGGACAGGGAGCCTATGCGAAGGCCCTCGAAATGGCGCGCGAAATATTGCCCAGGGTATGCGGATTCTATGAAAAATTTCGGTTTCTTTTTTTCTTTTGAAATTTTTAAATGTTGTGGAACGTAATCCCCGGTTTTTTAACAGGGGGGGTTTACTAATTTTAACGATTTCATGCGAAAAACTATCTAAAAAATTTAAAAATCAAAATTTCGCTCGAAAAACTGGTATTTTCGAGGGTTTACCTATAAGAATAGTAAAAAGCTCTCTAGAAACACTTTCTTGATTTATATTACAAAAAATTGGAGCCCAAGGCAAAAATTCGGGGGGCCCCCCACAGCCGAAAACACTAACTAATCGACCCCCTGGCGCACTTGCTACCAGGGGGAGCCCGAATAAACCCAGAATTGGCCGAAAATTATCACACAGATAGAATCGACCACGCTGATCATCACGTCGTTGTCCGAATTTGCTACTGATCTTTAAAAGTCGAGATATGTCAGTTTTAAAGTGATCCCTTAGTTAAAATCAGCCAAAAGTCGACCCCGATTTTTTTTGATCGTCCCGGCCGATTTTGCAAAAATAAATTTCGCGAACATATTCAGAAAATTGTTCTCTTTCGAATGAGCCCTCTGGCTCAAAATTTTCGAAAGCTGGAAAATTGGAAAATTGACGATAGGCTCGGAGGACAAGGTCGTGATCGGGGCGTGGTCGATTCTAGCTGTGTGCGAATTTTCAGGCATTCTGCAATTTTATTCGGGCTCCCCTAGTTAGAGCCCACTTTCCAATTCAATTTCCAGGGCCCAATCGCGGTGAAAGTGGCAAAGATAGCCGTCGACACGGGATCACAGTTGGATCTGCAGAGTGGACTGTTGCTCGAACAACAATGCTATGCACAGGTTTCTAGATTTTTGACTACGAGGTGCCCCAGCAAAATCCCCCCTACCTAGCGGTCCGCAGTCGCGTCGAATTTTCGCGATTTAGGTATTTATCCAAAAGCTCACCACCGGCTGAGGAGCTGGGTTCTCGCCGATTTTCGCAAGAAAATTCGCGTTTTTCGCTCGTTTTTCGGCATTTTTTATTCGAAAAACCCCATCCCGGCTATGTTTTTGAATTTTCACGCCTTTTGCGACAGCCCAACGACAGCTTGTTGAAAGCAATTTAAGAAAACACAGCTGGGATGACGCGGCCACCGCTTAAAATTAGTTTTTCCTTTGAAAAAACGTGTAACGGCATCAAAATACCGAAAATCGAGCGAAAAATTTGGGAATTTCGAAAATCTTGATCAGAAAAACCATCTAATTTCAAAAAACCGAAATTTTGCTTGAAAAACGACGCTTTTTCATCGACAAATCGATTTTTTTTGTATTTTTTAATAGAAATTTGTAAATTTTTGACGCTTAGGAATTGTAAAACACAGCTTAGAAACACTTCAGCTATTTATATTTTTAAAAAAAATTGAAAAATTGTAGAAAGAAAGAAGAATTGTCTGTTTTCAGGTGATCCCAACCCGTGATCGTATCGAGGGACTGGCCGCCTTTGCCGAGAAGAGAAAGCCACATTATAAAGGCGAATAATAAGAGCCTATTTTCTAATTGCCATGCCCTGATTTGTGTCCTTTTTGATTGTCGGGTATTCCTTCTATTCATTGTGCTTTTTAATATTCGTTTTTATTGATTCGATAGGGATAAATATTTCTGTAGTTTCATGTTTTTTCGAGTGATCACAGCGTTGGCTTCCGCTGCCTTTTTCGGCAACTTCTTCTGGAGCGGGTCTTGGTTTTTATACTCTGAAAAAGGTGTGTTAAAGCCGTTTTGCTATCTTTGAAAGGTATTTTAGGCTTTTGCGGCCGTGTTTTTATGAAAACATGAAGATTGCAGGGTGTCCAAAAAAAGCGACTTCCCTCTAGCATCTCTCGCAATGATGTCCGATTTTGACGATTTAGGTATCAATCGAAATCTCTCAACGAGCTGAGCAGATAGCTTCTCTCCGATTTAGTGAAATTGCCGAATTTTTATGACAATTACTTACATTTTTGCGAAATTGGCTGAATTTTCGTTGCTTTTCCTCATGCAAGTGTTTTGACAAAAGTCCGATTTTCCAAATTTTTACATCTTTATTGACAGCGAAGGTCGGCTTGTTGGAAGGCATTCGAGAAAATACAGCTTGGCTGCGGCTGAAGCCGATTAAATTGAGTTTTTGCACAAAATTGCGTAGTTTATGCCCAAGAAAACGATGAAAATGGGGTTAAAAAATCGGACATTACTGCCGACCGCTAGAGGAGGGTCTTTTTTGGGACAGCCTGTAATCTTCAAGCTCAATTCTGGTAGATATCGCTTTTGCGTGCATTTCCGCTCTCTCTCTCTCTCTCTCTCTCTCTCTCTCTCTCTCTCTCCTTCTCTCTATTTTGTCTTATTTCCAGGGTAACTACAACGGGAGTATGCTGCGTGCGTTGAGTCGATTACGGATGGTGGGGATGATGGGAAGTGCCAAGCGAACCCTCAACACAACAACAATACGCGCGACCGGCGATTTTGAGCATCAAGACCCGAAGAGTGAGGACGAGGTGAAGCGTCTTTCCCTCTCCTATAATCTTTCCATTTCCAGGTGGTCAACATCACGTATATACTACGCGACGGCACAGAAAAGCATATCCGAGGCAAGATTGGCGACAATGTCATGTATCTCGCGCATAGGTAATTCATTTTAAAGGCAATTTCATAACAATTTACAGGTATAATATCGAGTTGGAGGGCGCGTGTGAGGCATCATTGGCCTGCTCAACGTGCCACGTCTACGTCAACCAGCCGTTTTTCGATCGTCTCGATCAGCCGAAGGAGGAGGAAGAGGTTCGCAATTGTTCTCTATTTGTCTAGACATTTATGGGTTCTTTCGCGTTATCGGGGGGGTACTTTTTTAGGATCTAATTTTTCTCGATTTTTCGACCGAAAATGGCCGATCTTTGCGCAAATTTCAAGGTTTTTAAAGTTTTTAGATAGTTTTTCTAAAGCAAAAAAAGTTATTGGACAGAAACTGGTGGTTTTCTGGCCATTTTAGTGCGCGTTTCTGTCGATTTCGGTAATGTTGAAAAAGTCGCGAATTCTCCAAAGATCGGCCATTTTTAGTCGAAAAATTGATGTTTTTTAATAAAAATTTGTCAAGTTTTAACGTTTAGGAATAGTAAGAAACCATTTAGAAACACTGCCAGTATTTATATTTGCAAAAATTAGGTCCTAAGAGAAAAGGTGGTTTCCCCCGATAACCCCCCCCCCCGCGATAATGCGTAAGAACCAAAACTGATTTTCGGAGAATTTTAGTGCGCCTTTCTGTTGAATCTCGTAAATCAAAAACTTGGATGTGTAGAAAAGAACGCCCTCTTCACTTTCGGGGGGGCCGGATTCCGTCAAAATCTCTGTAAAAATATGCAATTTGGTCCAAAATTCGGATTTTTTGATTTTTTAAGGGCTCTATCGGCGTTGGAAGACTGAAATGAATGTTGTTGTTGCAGGATATGCTGGACATGGCGCCAGCCCTACAACCGGATTCTCGTCTCGGCTGCCAGATTGTGTTGAGAAGAGATCTTGATGGGATTCGCGTCACACTACCCAAGATTACACGCAATTTCTACGTGGATGGCCATGTACCGCAACCACATTAATTCTTTCTTTCTTTCTTTCTTTTTTTTTGTATATCGCTTGTAGATAATATGTTAGTCATTAATTAATTGCCGTTCTGTTCGTCTTCTTTCAACATTCTTTTTGTAGCTTAAAATATGTCTTTTGTTGATTTGTGGTTATGATAGAGAAGACGGGTCACGCGTTTCTTTTCGATAAAGATCTTCTTAAAGGCGTTGTCGGCTGGCGTGGCGCTTTGAAACGAATACATTGTATGATTTGGAGACTTGCATCAAGCAAATTTAATTGGCTCATTTCCAGTAATGCCCGCGGGACAGCGAACCCAATCGGCTCACGCTATATCGTTACGTACGTTTCTCTTCATTTTGATTTTATTAGATTTGTAACAAATTTTTGATTATCACGTTTCATTTTCAAACATATTTAATTTTTAGAGACTACTTGCGCGGAAAGTTGTCGGCTACCTGCCCTGCACATCCCAAGGCGAATCGGCTCGTTCGTCTTCAGCAGCGCCGGTCCCCCCAACGATTCGCGAAAATCTTTCTAATTTTGCTGTACGTTGTTTGAGCTTCGCGAGCCCTTTTTTTGATGTTTGTTACCTGGTGATCTCTTTCTTCTTAGTCTCCACATTGCGCATCTTTTTGCCCATAGAAGTTGCTTTTGTTTTTCTATATTTTATTTTTTTCACTTGGCGAACAGCTAAATTTTAATGTTTTCCTTCCCCCGATAAAATATTATTACGGCTTAACTTTGTTTGCGCCATTTTTTCGGTCATCCCAGCCGAGAGGAATTACAACAAAACGCACGGCAACCGAATGCTGTTGAAAACGGGTCTTTCAGATGAGAAATACTGCGGCCTTCAACTGCCCAGGGTGCAAGAAGCCGTTCGATTTCAACGAGGGCGAGCCCAATTTTCCGGGTTATCATGGAGGCTACAATTGTTGCGCCTGTAAGCGATGCGGTCCCGGCTACATGCCCCATCGAGGCCTGATGGATTTCCTGAATCAACCGGCATTCAAAAAGACGGATACCGGATACGAATACACTCTGCCAATCAACGATCCGGCCTGTTTTGGATGTGAAAAGTCGATCCGTCTCTCAGCGGGCGCCAGTGCCTTTGTGGGTAATTGTGGCCACTATCTTTGCCAACAATGCGATCGGAATAAGGGCCAGGTTCCGAAGCGCTGCCCCATCTGCGATGTGAATTCTGAAGGCAACGGCTGGCGAATCGACGGAGTCCTGTTGCGGTTTTTCTTCGCTAAAACGGCCCGAGCCCAACGTCTCATTGAGATGGAGGATGAGAAGGAAGAAGCACGGAAAAAAGGAGATCTCAAAAGCTGCGCAGAGTGTGGTAGCGAGCAGAATATCGCGTGCTTTCTCGTTTGCACCGACTGCAAGAAGGAATTTTGCGGGAATTGCTTCTTCGATTCGCCCCACCGGACGCACACCGTAAAGAAACTTCTCGGCGTCGAATTGCACCGGATCGAAAAGGACAGCAAGCGGGTCTTCACGGAAATTTTGGAAGGCCTGCATCAAAACATCAAATACATCCAAACTACTATCGACAAGGCCATATCCAACGTGATGACTTCCGGCAAAAGAAACCTTCAAAAAATCAAAATGTGCACGAGTCTGACTTCGGCCCATACGATCGTCCGATCGACCCAAATATCGACCTATCAGTTCGAGCGCCACTGCGAGGAATATATTCCGGTTGCCCGCGAATTGGCTACACGATTGACGGAGCTCGGCGAAAACATCTCGAAAGATGAGGAATAACTGGACGCTTCACTTTATTTTTGTTTGTTGACGTTGTTATTTAATATAAAATAGATCAAGAATGTTTTGTCGAAAATCCCTTTGATTAGCCGTTACAGCGCTTCATTTTTTATGCGGAGCGAAAAGCAGTGAAAAATCGATATTTGTAAGCCTTTCAAATTTTTTGCACCGAAAGTTGAGCAAAATTCGTTTTCCTCGATTTTCCCGTTTCGACATTGAATTTTGCTGATTGTAGCCCTTTCACAAGCCCTTTGCCGGGGGTTTCCGAAGTTTACACCTGACACCCGAAAACTGTGCGCTCCCACCACTCACTTACGCCCTGGAATTTGGGTCTGCGAAAATTTTCGGAGTTCAGAAACTTTTCGTTTGTTCGCTCGAGATGGTGTAAATTCACGCTCGACACTTTATTAGAATGTTTAGACAGCAATTTCACGCCCGGAAACTTTATTATAATCGTCATATGGTGGGGGCAAAAGCACAGCTGAGAGGAAGAACAAAAAAAAAGACAATCGGTTTTTGGTGTTGTATTATATAATTTGTGCATTAGTTGAGAGGGGAAATGGGGGATAGAGATGTGATATATTAATTGCACATTATTTCGCTAGATGACGATCGTGGATAGGAGTGAGAACAAAAGAAAAGACGCAAGGCAACTGCCGAACTTTTCACTTTTTGTACAAATAAACAAATTGTTCATTTTGTTATAGAATAAAAAGATGAGACCAACAGAAACGTGATCACAATTGTCAACAGTGTCCGTGTGTGCATGTATCGATCGACCAGAAGGAAATTTCGGGGGGGAGCAACGAAAAATCGGGGGTCCTTTGGAATTTCCGGGGAGGGGAGGGGTGAATTTTACGACAAGAAAGCGTCTCTACAAAATTTTTAAACGATTTCTCAACGCGAAAACTTTCCAAAAAATCGATTTAAAACGAAAATCACGATTTTCGGTCAGAATGACCGATTTTCGAATTTCAAAGTCGAAATTTTCAAAGTTTTCCCACTTAAACGTTGCCAAATTTTTTTCAAACAAAAACGAATAGGAAAAATTCAACCCACCACCCGCCCCCCCCCCCTCCCCGCCGGAAATACAAAAAAAAAACCCAAAAGTCGAGACGAGAAAATGAGATGCCGAGGAGAAATTCTTTTGGGGAAACTTCGTGTGTACTCGTTGGTGTTGTTGTTCAGCTACGGCCCTCTCGCTGACTATTGGCTGGACCCGGCGACTGGCTGCTGCTGTAGATGATCATCCACTTCATCTTCTCCTCCTTCGGCCGGCGGCCGATGGCATTTGTAGCAATTGTAGTGCTCCATATCCTCCTGAAAAAAATCTTAAATTAATTTGCTTTAAAATTTCCACAAATTTTCAGAAAAAACACAGCCCACTAGCGGCACGTAGAACTATCAATTTTGTACCATCTAGATATCAATCTTCTCAACGGCCCTTCAAAAAGTAAAGTGCCAAAAAGCCGTACAAATTCGGAAATTGTGCTTTTTCACCGGAAAACCATCGAAAATTGGAATCCAATTGGAATAAAATGCATAGATCCTTGAACCCGAGAAATCCGCCGAGTTTCGAAAGCGGCGGGAATTGATTCAACGGAAATGTGGTAAAAGAACTGACCGCCTGCGCCTTGGTCAGTCCGACACATATATTGTGATACCATCGGCCACAGCCCGGCTCGCAAAGTATCCAATTCAGGTGGTCCGCTGAAAAGAACAGATTGCGTAATAATAAGAATATTAGCGAAATTTAACTATATTAAGTGGGTAAATCTATAAAACACCTTAAAAATTTGAAATTAAATTTTATCGAAAATCGATGTTTTTGTATTTTTTAATAAAAAATTTATAGAGTTTTTGCTTTCAGGTATAGTACAAAATCATAGAAAACTCCCCCAATTTATATTTGCGAAAGATGCTAAAGAAAAATGGCATCCCCCGATAATGCCAAAGAACCTGTGAGAAGAGGGCGTATCAAAATTAAAGGGCTGCGCAAGGCTTCGGATTCCTATGGATTTAGCCGCGCCGCGACACGCAGCGCGCACACATGATTCGATTGCCACGCGCGGCGCGACGCGTTGCGCGCCGGGGACGCGGCAAAACCCATAGAGAATCCATCGTTTTGTCCGTCATTAATTTCATGTCGTAATCGGTTATCCGAAACAAAACGTACACGTCGGTTTGAGGCAAAGATCGGCGCCACACATTTGATCATCGTCGTGGTAGACCTCTTTTTCGGTGTGTTTCTCGCCCTTTTTGCGCTTCTTCGATTGGCCCGCCTTTTTCTGCCGTTTCCTGCAAAAATAACGATTATTGATAAACTTTACAATAAAAATATGATTTTCGACAATAAGCTAAAATACCAGGGTGCTAGTGCATTTAGGGGGGGGTGCAGTCCGGATTTTGACTACAAGACGCTCCAAATGCCGTTTTCTAAACTCTAAGCCTCTGGAAAAGCTAACCCATAAATGACCCGATTTTGACCTCGTAAAGCCATTTAAAGCTCAAGGTAAGCTTATCTCGGGCTTAAGCTGAAGCCTAAGCTAGGCATAGCTAAAGCGAATCTAAAGCAGGGTCGAAGCTAAAAATCAAGTAGCGTAAGCGGAGCGTATTGCAACCCCCCTAACTTCACTAGCACCAATCGAGTTTCTAATACTTTTTAAACCAATAACAATAAATATAATCACCTGGACTGGTTGAGATCAAAAAGACGGGACGGGGCTTCAGGGCGAATCGGCCGGGCACGAACCTGCAAAAATAAAAAAATTGTAAAATCGTGAAAAGTACGTTTAGCATGAGATGCCGTTGGGCGTGAAGAGTATCGGCGTGTAATATGCGAATATATTCATTGAGACGGGGCATCAAATCGTGGATCACTATCTCACTCGCCAGACATCCCACGATCAACGCGTCCATTCTGCAAAATAGAAAACTAATTCAATGTCAAATTCAAAATTAATCCATTTATTTTTATCTTGTTCAAACACCGGATCAAAAATAGACCTAATTAATTTCATCTAAAAATAGATAAAATTAATAAACGCGGAATTTAAACATTGGCAAAGCATAAATTCTGAATGGATTTTTTCGTGCCGACGCCGGCGCTAACGCGCACGAGTCGCTCTTTGTTGCGTTCGTCCCTTTTGAAAGCCAAAAACGCGGGCAAATGTCTACTCACTTTTCGCGTTGTGTCTCGCTGAGATCGGCTGAGCTTCCAAATGGTCCCCCGTCGATCAATGCACGATATGCCGTCTCGGATCTCTTCAGCGCTTCTCGCACCAGGGTGATCTAGAGAAAAAAGGTAATGTGTGAAAATATGGCGTATACCGTAACCACCACCCCCCCCGATATTGCAAAAGAACCCAGTACCTCAGGAGATTGTACACCGCCGAGTTGAGCCATTGCCGCCATGATATCTTCACGAAATGGCCGACGAGAGCGGAGACAACGAATGCATAGGAATGTCCCCTCGGGTAGATCTCGGAGGAATTGATTCCATTCCACGCAGTCCACTGAAAAATTAAGATGAAAACAGAAATACTGAAAAATACACAAAATTAAAATCGAATTTCATTTAAATTAAATTAATTAAACCCAATTAAAGGGATCGGCAAGGCAAAAACACAGATTTTCCACGAAAAATCGCTAGAGAAAATCGGGCAAAACCCATAATCAGCGTGGCCTATCCGTTTTTAAAAAAACTGCTACCGTGTGATCGTCCGAAGCACTGGAAACAGACGATGGTCGGGAGATGTTGTTCTTTTTCTTGTTGACAGACACACGACTCGGCGATCGGTTTCTCAGAGTAGTAGCGTCTGCAGGAAGCACAGTTACAAAATGTTGTTTAAGAGAATTGATACCTCAGGGCGACCATTCGATAGTATTCCCCGTCCGACAGTTTCGAGCAGTGCGCCTTCACTTCGTCCGAATCGTCGAAATCCACCAATTGATCCCTGGAAAATGGGGATATAGAAAGAGAGAGAGAGAGAGAGAGAGAGAGAGAGAGAGGGAGAGGGAGAGAGGGAGAGAGACGGAAGAGAGAAGCAACAAAAATTACCATTCAAATACGGCCGGGCGACTCTTTTCCCGTTTGAGCAGTACACATGGTTGTCCTTCGAGGATCGGTGCCAAATCTTCCCGTCCAACGAGCATCTACAACAAAAAACATTAATAAAAAACATAGAATCGGTAATTGATTGCAGTCGTAATTTCGTGCCGTAATTGGCTGCAGTTTTCTATGATTTCTCGCTAGCCGCTTAAAAATCCGGTTCTTTCGCATTATCAGGGGGGGGGCGGGGGGGGAGCGAACTTTCTTGTCTGGTTCTAGAAATGCCTAACAACTTAATAGAAAGTGTTTTTAGTAAAAAAAATAACTATTTTTCAACCAGAAAATATCTAAAAACTTTCAAAAAAAAAGACGTTGAAAATTCCAATTTTTTGGTATTATTTTAATTAAAATGTCAAGAGTTTTGATGTTCAGCAAAAGGAACAGACCGTTTAGAAACACTTCCGCTGTTTATAGTTGAGAATTAGCTCCTAACAAAAAAACTGGTTCCCCCTTCCCCCCTCGATAATGCACATGAACCAAAAATCCGCCCCTTATATGGCCGCTTATTTTTCAAAAAAAACTCGTCCGGCAGGCTAGCAGAGACAATTTGCGGCAGATAGATTGACGTCTAAAAAATGTATGCACACAAATTTAATGTCGTAATCGGTTTGAATTTAGATATTCGGGCGTAAAAAATCAAAAATTTAAATGTATAAAATGGCCGATTTGACAAAGAATTATGACCAAAATTTTTAAAAAACCCGGCAGGCGGGCTAGCGGAGACAATTTGCGGCCCCGAAAAAAGATACGCCCACCAATTTAATGCCGTAATCGGCCTGAATTTCAAATTTCGGGCTTAAAAATTAAAGATTAAAAAACGCACATCATAGAGTGTGTAGTAGGAGTTGGGACAATGGAATAGGGCGGACAGTCGATCGGTGAATTGGACGAGACGATCCCCCGCATCAGCCAGTCTCTTGATTTCCGGCGAATCGCGAAGGGTCACCGACTGAAATCGACAACCATTTTTTATTCCTTTTCATTTCTCATTACACAAAAATTTAAAAAAATGTAATTCCGTAAAATGGAATGCTTAATCAATGGCCGGAAATTCCTTCAAAACGTAAAATTCAATTGCTAAAAACATGAAAGATATAAAGATAAAAAATCAGCGACTTAAAAGATTATTTTCCGATTCTCTTTCTCTGTTTTCTGGAACCAAGAGTTGTTGATGGAAGTTTAGGGTAGAAAAATCAGAAAATCCCAAATTTTTGAGCGGTTTTTTTCTAAAATTGGATACCTTTTTGCATTCGGCGACAAGTCCCTCCAAATCGACGAGTGACAGCTCGCTGTCGTCGAATTGGGCAGCCAATTCCCTCGTCAGGACAACCTCATCACGAATCGCGTCCAGACCTGCAGAAAAGGAGACCATCAGAAGTGGGGGTGCAAAACTCGTACCGTCACCGCTCATCCAGTCCGATTCGCGTACTTCTTGCCAGAGGGCCTCGAGCTGGGCGACGCCACGATCCCCCTTACGCAGCCAGTCTTCGCACTGACACAAATTCACATTCAAATATTTCGAAATTCAATTATAAACCTTTCAAAAATTTGGACCTTTTTTAAAAACCAAAAAATTGCAAAATTTCCCGGATTTTCCCAGATTCCAGAAAAAACGCTTCGTACGGTAGCGTACTGTCCCGTACTGTAAGGCAAAAATTAAGCGTCCGTAAGCCATCGATTTAGACCCGTGGCTGGGTGTTCGAAAGCGAGCCGAGGGGACGCTACCGTCAACAAAAAGGGGGCCGTGGCCGGCTTTTGGAGCACCATTTCCGCCGATTTTCGACCACGAATTCACGTCACAATTTTTCGAATGGCACCTCGTGCTCACCTTGTTATCATGGACGAGGGCCCGCTTCATCTTTGTGTGTAGCCGTTGATAGATGCCGGATGGATGCTCGAATTCCGGATCACCCACCGAACGACCCTGCAAAAAGAGAGGTAATTCAAAATTTATTCAGATAGGTAATCCCCTCACCTCATCTCCAAGGGCGATGATGTGTTTTGTGGAAGATCGTTGTCGAGTGAGAAAATCGTCTTGATCCTCCATTCCTTCCCATGGCTGCCATTCAACAATCTGTTGCGCCCTCCGTCGCCATTCACACAGTCGAAGAGTCTGCAAAAAAAAGAGAAGTATTCATCGCTCGGAAAATCAGTTTTTTTTTGTAGAATTGAATTCTTTAGCTAGTTATCGAAAAATCCGAAAATCCTATAAATTCTAGAAAAGGATTTTTCTGATTTTTGGTCATATTACACAGATTTTCGCGTATAGAACTCAAAAACCGTCCATTTTTAGGACGTTATCAAACTGCAAAAAAGCGTAAAGCATTTTATAAAAATCAAAAGCCCAGAATAAAAAAATTGGGTTACCTTTTCCAGCTGTTCCAACTCGTCCATTCTCAGCCCAAACTGTTCGCCCGTTTCGACAGCTTTCCGTAGACTGTCCATCAGTGCTTGCTCATCCTCTCCTTCGTCCTCCTCATGCTCCCCATCTTCTTCTTCTTTTTTGATGCCTAGCTGTTCGGCTCTTCCCTTCAATTCTTCCGCTTCATCCATCCATCGATTCACTCGATTCATCAGCCCGCCCAGCTCTTGTACAATCAGCTGTACATTACACGGCAACGCCTTCAGCTCTCCCGTCAATTGTCGTACATCGGAAATTGAGGGTCGAGTGTCGGCTCGTTGCATACGTGTCGTCGTACTGTAACGGAAAAAAAATTCAATTTTACATACAAATTTCATCAAATACAAAAAATTAAATCTATAAAAAAGGCTTAGCCGCCCTCATTACGAGATTCACAAAGTATATAAAAATAACGACAAAAGCGTTTGCCAACCGATTACGACATAAATCTGACTTTCATGGTGTAATGGCGACCCGTTGCGTATGGCGGTGGGCGCTGTTTAACAAGGAGCAGCTACGACACGCTCCTCCGTACACGTGCAACCAATTACCCCATGAAAATCGGATGGTCTATTTCACGTCGTAATGCGATTGGAATCATTCGAAATGTGGAAAAACGTACCGAAACTTGACTTTTCCCTTGATAATTTGCCGTGCCCTGTCAATGGCAGCCGTACAGCTGCTATGCGTCTCCATCAGCCGATCCCGCACTTCCGACGCCGGGAATTTCGCGTGACGCGCCTGCGCCAGCAGCTCGTCGATTTGCTTCAGTGCTAAAAAGGAGCAATAAAAAGAGTGTTTAGTAGCTCTCCTGTGAGCTATATTTCAGGAAAAACCAGTTAAAACTTTCGAAAACTTTGATAAACGGCAACTTGCAAATTTGTTCAAAAAATAGAACAATTTAGGCGTAAAAACAGATATTTTTATATCTTCTAATAGAAATAATTTGTTCTTTTTCACAGAATATTCGAAAAAGGCTGATAAATTCGGAATTAAAGAGCAAATTGCCTACTGGGTTTGCATTTGGGTGAGTCGAGTAGACGGCGTGCCTGCTGTTGCCACTTGACATACTCTTCGGCCATTGGCTGCAGCCGGAGGAGAATTTCCTTGTATTCGATCAGATCGTGTCGATATCTGCAAAACCATCAAAATTGGCATTCAAATAATCAAATAAAAGGGATTTTTGTATATTGATGACCACTTATTAACATCGTAATCCTTTTGAAAAAATTCATCTTTAAAAATCCCGTTTTATTGCTCAAAAATCGTCGAAAACGTGTCGATACCTGGAGCGCAAAAAAATGTATCAAAATCGCGTTTTAACTCCAAAAAACCCGGGGTTATCGCGGAAAATCGATAGGCATCCCCAATTTTGAGCCGAACAAAAGCGCCCGGGGTTTTTTTTGTGCCTTCCTTGCCCGTGCTACCAATTCCTTATCTTGCATATAATGTGGCGGAACGGAAGTCCTTTTTTCCGAATCGTTTCTCCGACTATTTGAGCTAAAATTACTAAAGTCCGGCAAGGAAATTCTTGAAAAACTAGAATTTTTTAAATTTTGGATTCTAGACTGTTAGCGGGGGGAACCAAATTTTTCCCAATAATCCTCTACGGCCCTACAACAAAATAGAAACCATTTTAATGGTATCTTACCTAGTTTTTAGATACAAAAACGATAAAAAGGATCATAAAAGTTTCGGACCATTTAACTTTTTGGTCAAAATGTATGAAAAATGAACAAAAAGGTCATTTTGGAATCTTTAAAATTTTTGAAAATATTTGTTATAACTTTCTAGCCACGAAAAACTACTCACAACACTATAAAAATAATATAGCATGAACAGGCAGGTAAACAAACAAAACAGAAAGTGGTTTTCTCCCTGCCAAACCCTCCCCCGCTAACAGTCCAGAACCAAATTTTGCCCGAAAATTCCAGAGATATAGTGGGGGCAAAAAAACGCACTTGAGTGACATCTGATCGATGGTGCAATGGTGACAGAGCTTGTCGACGTGATCGAGACAGACGAGACGGCCATGAGAACAACCAACAGCAGACAGGTAGACTGTCGTGTGGCAGAAACGGCATTCTCGCTGCTCGTCCGGCATCTTTTCCCATTGCTGAACAAAGGAAAACGTTTCAAACTGGCAAAAAAACGAACCACTCGATCGCAGGAACGGATGCCGAGCCCGGCAACACGCCCTCTGCGCTTCACCTCGCGCTCGCCAATCTGAAAAAACGAGCTTTGCCGATCGGTTACGGCATCAAAATCAGCCGCAGAACTAATTTTTTTAGACGCGACAACTACTTTTGTGTGTCGTTGTGAAACGCGACGAAATTTCGACATTAAAGAGCTAAACAGAGCGGGAGACCAACCGATTGCGCAATGTAAATCGGCAAACGGCAAACTTTAGGCGGAAATTTGTAAAAAATATCGATAAATCAGTTAGGCGATGTAATTCAGGCGCCAAGAGACGAATAAATGGAAAATTCTGAGATAATATCAAAATGCTAAACCCGAAATAAACGAGGAAAAACTGACGGCGACGAGTTCCTCATAAGCGGCAACACACATTGGTGGCGATAGACGCCCATTCTCAGCCACGGCCATCGACATCACCAGTTCTTCATGCGAGAAGACACATGTGCGACGGACATCCGCATATGCGCCAACCGCTTCCCGACCCATACGAAGCTGTAACAAAAGATAGAAGCTCCAAACTGGCCCGTACCCAATCGGTCGGCGCAAAATTGACGGCCTCGGCGACGTTGAAGCCCTCGTTGAAGCCGGCATGGTAGGCACGCGGAAACGTGATCACGAATTCGCCGGCACCCTGATGCACAGTCCACACCGGCACTCGTTTCGCGATCAACACCTGCAAAATGGAATTTGGTCAGGGATTCTCCCCCCCAAAAAAAAAACCCCCGGCTCCCGCTCTAGAGGCGCCGAGGAGTGGCCAATTTTGACGATTTTCGTATAAGTCGAAAGCTCTTGGAAAAACCGAACAGATTTATGATCTCAAATTATTGAAGTTGAGTCATTTTGCGCAATTTAATTAGTTTTCTACAAGACGGGTTGAATGTTCGGTGCTTTTCCGGGAAGGCCGTTTTTGATAAAACGACGATTTCTGACAGTCGATTGCTTGACGAAAACATCCAAAAATTGAGCAAAAAAATAGCCGTATTTCGGCAAATAGTTGCGCTGATTTGTTCGCCTGTTCGAGACATTTCACCGGATGGTAGAATCGGAAAATTCAGGTTCTGCTACGGTCTGCCAGAGGAGAATGAGGGGCAGAAAACGGACCTGTGGATTGACAGCCACCGTCATATGATGCAGCAAATCCCTCTGCGCCGAGAAGAGACCCGGCGAGATCGAACGGACCGCCTCAAAAAAAAAACGGGATAAAATCGAGCAGAAAAAACGTACGTCTTCAAAGCGTTCGGCATCGGCACCGGCAACCCCATACCACACCTTGTGCTCGCCCTGAAAAGAAGGAGAATTAAATAGAGTCGAAAAAGGCGGGAGATACCCTGTGGTTGTAGTTGATGGAATACGTCCAATGGTCCTCGGTATGCCAGCAGAAAGTGCTGAAGCACATCCCCACGTACACCCACGGGATCATCATTCCTGCAAAAAGCGGAAATGTCATCAAAAAATTGAATTTTCGCGTTTTATCCAGTTCAAAACGTCTTAAAATTTTTGAAATAACAGGAAATGCAGCCATTAGCTCATCCTTTCACTAAAAAAAACTATTTTTTGAGTTTTCCCGCCCAAAAAAAACGTTTTAAATCCTTTGAACAAAAACGGAATGCTTGCAAATTCGCTCTATCAATAGGAAAAACTAATTTTCTAATTCTTTTCAACCAAAAAAGGGTTTTCAAGCTTTTAAAAAAGAGGAAAACCCCCGAAAAACTGAAATTCCCTCACCAGGTATATCACAGTCGATGTGGGACAGCACGGAATCCTTCAATACGGGCAGATTGTTGAGATTCCACGGGTGATGGGCGTAGTGATGGCGTGCCTTTGCGTCTGCCCCTCGATGATCCTCGTCGCGACGCGGGAAACCGCTGCCCACCTGAAAATTTCTAGCTGTAAAATTGGCATTTTAGAAAGGTAGTTCAACTTCATCTTTCATCCGCGAAAAAACCCAATTTCATAGCGTAACTGAAGCGGTCCTCATTCAATTTGATTTCTCGACGAATTTTGTGCAAAGATTAATACCAGAAGGCATCGAAAAGACAAAATAATCGAAATTTCAGAGAGTAACCGTCTGCGCCGGCCACTAAATTGGTTTTCCGCCGGATTTTGCGCAGAATTCCAAGATGAGAAGCTTCAGGAAAACGCCAATCTTCAAAAACACAACTATCTGCCAATTCCATAGCGCAATCGGTTCCGCCGTCATCCAATTCACGTTGCTAAGCGAATTTTGCGCAAAACCCTCAATTTAAAGCCATTTTTAGCAGAAATCCATGAAAATTCACCTTATCAACCCGCAAATCGGCACCATACTTGACGGAGACGGCCTCCTCGCGGATGATGTTCCGCCAGAATTCCTTCTCCACCTCTTCGAGCGTGATCTCCTAAAAAAGAAGCTAATTTCAGGGCACAAAAACGAGAATTCCCACGTTGAGAGGCTTGCGAAAGTATTCCTTCTTGAATTTGTCGGCAAATTCGCGGAAAGTGTCGAGATTGTAGGAAGTGTTCGCATCGTAGAAGCCGAAGTTCGAGCCCGCCTCCACGATCTTGTCGGCCGAGCAGTCGGAGCAGTGCCATTCGCCCTGCAACATCAACCACATTATTTCGAATACAACTTAGCACCACGGCTACAGACTACAAAATGCCGACAACATCAAAAATGCTAAAAGACGTGAAAAGCGCGAGATTTTTGTGCATTTCACCAATAAAATACGCTTTTTTTGATAGAAAAGCAAGGCAAAATTTCCGTTTTGTTTTCGTAAACTTTTCTGAAGGTTTTGCGATACCTTTGGGACAGCGCCAAGCGGTGGTTGACAGCAGAAGGTGTGCATGGAGAGATCGCATCCCTCACACAGCAACAGTTTCGCCTCATTGTCCCCCCGGCGGCATTTGATGCAAAAGACGTTGGCCATCGGATCGTGATGTTTCCCTAGACAACAAATAACATGTCGTAATCAATGGAACCCACTTTTCTTGCCGCCGTGTTGTTTGGGCATCGGAGCGCCGGCCATCATTCGCCCGGCACGACGTCGCTTTCCGCCCTGCATGCTCACTAAAACGAGATGAAAATGAACGAGCGAAAGAAACCAACTTCGCAGGTTCTCGTTGTCATTTCCCTCATCTTCATCGTCACATTCCTCATCTGACTGCTCTTCCTTTTTCAGGGCCGAATTCTGGAAAAGGGTACATTTCAGCAAATTTCCTCCCCACATACCGTCGTCTTCTCCAAATAGGGCTGCACGTATCTTTGATAATTGTCGCGCAATTTGGCGGTAGACTAAATGAAAATCTTCAGTTTTCGAGGCCGCAAATTCACCTGTGAATTCTTGAAGCCCAACGCCTTGCCGATGGCCGGCCAGTTGACCTTCTTGGCCTTGTTGGCCCAGTTCGTCTCCGGGTCGGCGTATTTCGTGACCATCTAAAGGAAAAACTTCATTTTGTCCCGAGATAAAGTACAAACAGTGTGAAGGCGGTACAGATCGATGTAGATCTTCTCGATGATGACAATGTCCAGATCGATACCCTAGAAAACATATTTTTCACCCGTTTTAAAGCGAAACTTGCCTGAAGTCTCCAGAAATTGAGCAGCTTTTCGAGAAAGGCGATCTTCTCGCGAATCGATGCCTCGATTTCGTTGAGCTTTTGGACGCGCGGCGTGAATTCGAACGTCGAACCGTCGATCACGAATGTTGGCACGAAATTCTGAAAGAAACCAATGTTTCACGATATTTCAAACGCTAAAAAGCGAATAAAAGATAGAAAACGGACCGACGGCGGCACAATCTTCACCACACCATACTTCTCAGCTTCCGGCTTGATTTTGGCCACGTATCTGCAAGAAAACAATCAATTAAGTCCTTTAGGAAACCTCGATCATTTTATATTTGCGAAAACACGCGCAGGCCTAGTTTTTGGCGCGGATTTTCGCTTTACGCATTCAAACGTGTAAAATTCACTCTGTTCCGCGACAACACCATTTCCCCCCAGAAATTGAGGCGCGAAACGAAGAATTTCGGGTTAATAACGCGATTTTCAACTTAAATCTTCAAAAATGGGGCAAAACGAACGCGATCGGATCGGTGAACTCCTCGGCAGTGGGCCTGTAGACAGGCGCAAGCGGGGGGCTCACGAAATCCGTGTAGTACTTCGCGAACTTGTCCATTGGCGTTCTGTCGATCAACGCATCGCAGACCACCGGTTCGCTACCCTGAAAAAAAGAGTTTGGCAAGTCAAAAACAAGGTCACATGGGTAATTTTATGATAACAAGCGCATAGACCATAGGAAAAGCAAAAACGTTGATACGGGTGAAAGTTGCATCCGAAATCGAGGCAAATCCGTGCGGAAAATGGCCTAGAAACCCAACCTCATGTAAAACAACTAGGCCGTTTTGCTCAGCGCGCAAATTTTACAAGGATTTCAGCTTCCTGGCTCTCCAGGAACACTCAATAATGCCATTCGCGACTGGAAAGGTGTTTTTACGCCAAAATTTAGAAATCTCGTGCCTATGCTTGAAATACTTTGGAGATGCAGATCCATCTGCGCTGCAATTTCTCGGCGACTACAGGGCGCTTCTATTGGCGTGTAAGGGGAGAGAGGACGGTGATTGGCTTGCAATGATCAGGGCTTTTACGATTACCCCCAGAATCTCGGAGCGGTAAAGACACGAAAAAGAGAGGTGGAAATGCGCTATTTCCCCTGTTAATTTATACGTACCTTCCAAATTTCATCCGGCCCGATACTCCAGTGGCAGTGCCCGCACATCAGGGCTTGTTGACTGAAATGAAAAATTAAATATTTAGACAGAAATCCAACTTTGGCTCATTTCCTCCCCCAGCTGCTACAATTTCGATGGTGTGGCTTTCATCGTGTTCCACAAAACTGCAAAAAAAAAGTGATATTTTGAAAGAAAGCCAACCTCTTTGGTGAATTATCTTCATCGGAGGGAGAAAATTCTTCAGCTGGCAACCCATCACCGACAGCAGGCTGAACAGCTTGTGTCTGATCGCCTTCCAGATTACGCCACAAGATTCCCTAAAATTGCAGAATTTTTGAAATTGACTTCAAAAGATTATCTTCGCCTATCATAGAGAACAAAACTAAAAGTCCATAAATTCATATTTACTCACAGTAGGATAGCGAAAAAGAGCCTTGCCCTCGCGCAGCAAAATTGACAAAAGCGTGCTCGTCAAGCCGCGTTTAGAGCGAAACTCCTTGTACCAAAAGTCGGGCAGCGGCGTTCCAGACCACTTCAGCGCAGCCAGTTGTAATTCGTCAATGGTATCTGTAAAGAAAATTAACGGTATGTACAACTGCATTTCCAAAAATTCGTGTCAGAGATTGAGATCACCAACTGGGTCAGTGATGCGCCACTATGCCATCAATCATTAATAACCCCTAAGCGAGTGAATCGAGAAAACTCACATTTCCTTCCTAGCAGATTCAAATCATGCCTCAATTCGTGGACATCGTTATATGGCTTTGCATGCTCGTCGAGACTTTCCTTGACCATTGTTCCGTCATCTAAACCAAAAATTTGTAAAAACGCCCCAAAAACGATGCCAACCATTTGTAATGACACGTGCCGTTTGATCCCCAATGAAAACCGGCACCGGAATCGCCTAAACACCAGAATGTGTATATGTATGTAAGAAAATATTTCAAAGGTTCTATCGCATTAACGGGGGGGGGGGGCGGGATTGGGGAACCCTTTTTAGGTTCTAATTTTTCAATTATAAATAGCGGAAGTTTTTCTACTGTTTTTTACTATTCCTGGATGTAAAAAGTCCACGGATTTTTAGTAAAACTACAACAAATATAGATTATTCGACCAAAACTGGCCCTTTTTGATCAAAATGGGGGCTATTTGTAAAAATGTTTTAGTTTTTAGATAGTGTTTCGGGTGAAATTAGTTAGGTTGACTAAAACATGATTAAACTATTTCCTACTAAGTTGCTCGGGATTTCTCGACCTGTACAAACAATCGCCGTCAGTCCCCCCCGATGATGCGAACAAACCATTTCAAAGCTCAAAAACTCTTGCTACCTGCTGAAGAGGATTTGACGACCCTTGTTTCTCCGATTCGCTGGTTGCTCGGGTAGGCGCAGACATCTCGTCGACCTCATCCTTTTCTTTGTTGGTTTCCGGCGCTTGCTGCGAGTAGCCCCTCTTCTCCCGATTCTCGTCGTTCACCATTGATGTCGAGGGAGCCCTGGAAAACAGTTTTTATTACAGAAAATGAAAAAAAGACAATAAATTAGAGAAGGACATATAATGAGCAATATTTCGGGATGCTTCGCAATAAAAACCCCAGTAAGGGATATATCGCAGAGATGTAATTAGACTAAAGTACGCTTGAATTTGTCTTACATGCATGAAAAAGAAGAGACAACCAATCGGCGCCGCACTGGATGCGCGCTTCATAGAACCGTCGAAAAAACCCAAAAATTGGTGTTTCCTAAACTAAAGAGATTTCGGAAACATATAAACCGCCATCAGCTAACAATGACAGACAAATCGCAGAGCCACGGCTAGTCAAAGGGTACTTTAGTAGAAGCCGCACCTATTGCCCTCCGGGCTCTGTGGGGAGGCGCCGCCCCTATTAAAAAAATCAGAAAATCTACGTTTTCTTCTAATAACTTTTTGTATATGATTTCGAATCTTCGGGAGGCTTGGGAACTTGGTAGAGAAAAAAAAATCTCTATCGAACTGTGTGGGTAGCAATGAGAGTTCTCACCAAAATAAGGAGATTTTGAAGCCTAAAGTTCGGAACTTTTCGACCCAGCTGATTTATGGCTAGTTTTTCAGCTTGTTCTTATACGATCAAATCTCGCTTAAAGGTTGGGTGGAGCGACGATACATGCTTATGAATTAATAACGGAAGTTCTGGAAAAGATAAACCCTTGTCCGATGGACCCTAATGTTTCGATGCTAGCACCTCAGCCGGAAGGATTTGAGCCTTGTATAGCGGTTTTCTAGGTAACTATCTCAATTTAACATAGTATTAATCAAAAAGCTGAATTATGAACCTCCTATCAAGAAAATAGGTAAGATAGTCGGGCAGTTGGACGCTTGGAGCAGGAGCTTCGTGATCTGTTGCCCAATTTTGCTAACATAAACGCACCAGGACGTATTTATTATCGTTACTAAGCCAAAAAAAATTGAAGTAACAACCCTGAGAGCTGATTATGGAGCGAAATTACAACTGTTTTTGGATTCATTTTGTTAAAACGGGTTCTGGCCGCTTTTTGCTCGGTTCTGGGGCTTTTTCGCGAGTATTATTTAATTTTGTGTTACAGTAGCCCTTCGGTGATGCATTGGAGCAAAAAGCAAAAGAAGGGTCACCATAATGGGGGAGTTTGCGCCGCAGAGGAACCGAACCCGAGGGTGTGGGGGGCTCGCCTGGGAGGTTAACCCACTATCTTCGGGGAGAGGGCCCGCACCCCCCAGAAGTGCGTTTTTGGTAAGGTCTGACGAGCCGTGGAACTCAAAAGACGGCCGGCGATTAACGAGAACCCATAGACCGACCGAACCGACCAATTTTTTTCCTGGTGATCCCGGTTGACCTAGTAATCAAATATAAAGTGTTTTCGAATTGTTTTTAGTAAGTTTTAACTATAATTAAAGCAGAAGAACTTTAAGAAAAATTTAGAAAAATGTTTGAAATAGTCGAAAATTTGGTAATTTTGAGTCTTTCCCCCCCGCAAATCCTAAAGGTTCTATAGGATTGTTCGACCTAATTTTAATTTTTTTAATTTTTTTTGGTTAATAAAACGAAAGTATTAATATAAAAGTAAACTAATTAAAATATGTTAGAAAAGGGAGTGCTCAAGAAAGAGCTCGTACTGGGAAAAGTATACTAGAGAAGTCGGTACTAGTATACTTTGGGGGGGGGGGGGCAAAAAATTTTTTCGGCCAAAATTTCTCATTTTGCACTATTTTGTTCAGTTTTTTATGCTGAATCGAATGCACATGTTACCAGATTTTTTATTATTGCAACAACATAAGAATTAGGCAACAATAACAATTACTAGCAGGGGTGGATCTCCTTTACGTGCGACCAAAAGTTGAAGAATGGATCGTATGCTTCGGATTAGGCTTAGGCTTAAGCTTTGACCTAGGCTCAGGCTCAAGCTTAGGCTCAGGCTTTGGCTCCTGCTTTGGCTTTGGCTCAGGTTAGGCTTAGGCTTATCTGCGGCTTGTGCAACGGTATACTACTGAAAAACTATTGAAATTACTTGTAATATAAATAGTTAATTATTACTAGAAAACATGATCTAAAAAATCTGGAAACACTTTCATTGGATTCAGCACGAAAAACTGAACAAAATAATCGAAAATGAGAAATTTTGGTCCAAAAATTTTTGTGGCCCCCCTAAAGTATACTAGTACCGAGAAGCCTGTTTCGACCCTAGTCCAAGACAGGCAAATCAAACGCTAGGGTCGGATCTCCTCAGTTGGAAGCCCTAGCGGACAATACAATAGTAAAGGTATGGGTGAAAAGTATTTATAAGAGTGAAAACTAGTTCGGGATTGTTAAATATTATATTTTTAAATCGGGGAAGTAGTTTTTCATTTCTTTTCGCTTGCTACATCCTAGTCTGTTGATTCGTTTACGCTAGGTAAAGGATGGCATAGTAGTGGCTCGTAGTCTACGGGCAAGAATTATAGCACACATGGTTCAGAAAAGGGGGGGCCCCCTGGGGACAGGATGCAGAGCGCAGACACGAGGGCAGACAGGCAGGGGAGGGGTGGGGCGCGCGATAGCAGACAGCCGGGCTAATCTTTCGTACACACCATTTATGATTCAAACGCGCGGGGGTGGGGGCAGACAGCCAGAGGGAGGGCGAGAGTGCAGAGAGCCCCTCTCCATCCTGTCCCCGCTCGACGAACCTTTTTCGTATGGCTCTGAACGCTGTGAGCAAGAGAGTAAAGGAAAGTAAAAACGAAAGTGAAAGCAGTAGTGAAAAGGTTAAAATGAAGAAGAAATTATGTCAGAATTACGAAAGTAAATGTTGAATATTTTTATAGTCACAATTGTGTTTAATGCCAAGTATTGGGTATTTGATAAAGACTTTTTTGCAAAGACTAAGTAGAATAGGTTTAAGATACCCGTTATTTTGTAAATGAGATATGAGTTGGTTAAGGTGCTTAGTAAAGGAAGTTTGTTCTGAGCATTTACGCTCTATTCTAATAATTTCTCCTTCCACGCAGCCATGTTTTATAGCATATGAGATATTAGATCGATAGTTGGGAAGGCGTGTAACCTTAAATTTGTAGTCATCGACTTTATTGTAAAGTTCCGTTTGAATTTTATTGTTAATATTGAAAATTCTGAGGTCTAGAAAGTTACCACTTTTATTGTTTTCGTTAGTTTGTTCTAGAGTTAATTCGATAGGGTAAATTTCCGACAAGAATTCTTCAATATTAACACCATTTTTATATAAAATGAGTATATCATCCATATATCTATGTCCAATAACATTATTGGTAGCATTTTCTTTGAGATATATGTATTCATAATAGGTTAGTGTTAGGTCAGCAATCATTGGGCTACAGTTTTGACCTTGTGGTATGCCTTGTTTTTGCTGGAATAATAGTTTTTTATAGGTGATGAAACTATTATTTAGGACCAGCGCCCAAAACCCGCTTCGCGGGCCTTGGGCGCTGGAATGCGGCCTTTGCATGATAGGTTTGACTTTCCGATAGCTCGGACCCTGCGGACCACCAACCACACGCGCGCGTGCAACCCGCAAGAATGAGGAAATTTGTATTTTTTTCACATTATGCAAATTAGCCGTCCCAGACCCCCAAAAATGAATAAAACCGGCTTTAACTTTGTAAACTTGTATTTTATCGAGATTCTGAGAGCGCCATCCGAAACAGAAGGGTCGATTCCCCCGGGTGACGGAGAATTAGGGCATTTGATGCACGGGAAGGCCCTCAAATCGGGCCTCGAAAGTGACATCTACACACACACACACACACACACACACACACACACACACACACACACACACACACACACACACACACACACACACACACACACACACACACACACACACACACACACACACACCAAACACACACACACACACACACACACACACACACACACACACAACACACACACACACACACACACACACACACACACACACACACACACACACACACACACACACACACACACACACACACACACACACACACACACACACACACACACACACACACACACACACACACACACACACACACACCCCCCCCCCCCCCCACACACACACACACACACACACACACACACACACACACACACACACACACACACACACACACACACACACACACACACACACACACACACACACACACACACACACACACACACACACACACACACACACACACACACACAAAATTATATAAGGTAGGATAGAATTGACTAAATAGATTATTTCGTTTTTGCCATAAATTTTTTGAGCATCCTATCCTATAAGCGAGAAAAGTATGTCTGTTTTCTGTGCAGCCGATTTCTCGGCCGTCAGGCCGAATTTTGCGCTGATTTTTGGCATGGAGGTGGAGAAACACATTCTCTTTATAGGCATTTTTTTGTTTTTCGAAATTCCCTCATTTAAGGATTTTACAAGCAAAATAGTGGAAAACCCTTAACATTTTGGCCAAAAAAAGGTTTGTTCAGAAGATATCTCGCGATCCAAAAGGAATTAGGCGCTGATTGTTGGAGGGCAGATTGAAAATCGAATTCTCCCGATATATAATTTTGCGTTTTTTCAGACTTTGTAAAATAAAATTTTTATGTGCGTTTTTCTAAAAAGTCCTTAACAAAGTGGGCTGCGCGCCGTAGTGTTCAGTCCATAACTCGATGCCCATTTGGAATTTCGGGCTGGAATTTGGACAAATTATGTATTCGATAGTGGGGATCACGCGCATCTTATTATCGTTAGAAATTTTCAGCAGATTGAGACTCAAAGATCGAGTTGTGTAAAGTGACCAGGAGGCCACCCGCCCGGGATCATTGGGGCGCCCTTTTCTTTGCCACCCCTCCCCCGCAGCCTTCCCCAGAAAGAAGAGGCCTTTCAGGCCACCCGTTCCCAGGCCTGGGAATTTTGCGGGCCGGGCCGAGAAAAATCGGCATTTTTCGGGCCGGGCCGGGCCGGGCCGAGAAATTGAAA